CACCTATTTTTAATGCCTGAAAGTTGAGGAAGCGATTCGTTTTTACAGCGCAGGGGAGAGCAGGGCCTAGGGTGATAGGCAGTACAGTGGGTTGGGAGTTTAAGTTGTATCAATCCAGGTTTGATATTTTCACTTTAGTCTTGGCGGCTCTTTTTTTCTGCCTCATTTGTTTCTTTACTTTTTCTTAGCGAATGCCTCCGAGCTTGGAGACCGTGATGGGTTGGGATAGGGGAGGCGTAAGATATATAATGGAATGGGAATTGTTCCGTTTTCGTTTTTGTTTTCGGATTTGATCTGTCATATTTTTGCTACTTATCACGGTCCTTCTTAAATTTCTTTCGACTGGCTTTCTCCTTTCCTTGAATATTTTTCGGAGTATGATCATGAGTATTTTAGGTACGTTGCAATTAAAATACAGTCTGCAGCAAGGTTGATACACGTAAAAAAAAAAAGTTTATCCTCTCTCTCTCTCTCTCTCTCTCTCTCTCTCTCTCTTTCTCTCTCCCCTTCTTCCCCCTGACAATCTTTCCATTTCTTCCTCACTCCGTATTTAAGACATCAGGTATTCATATACCTTCTCGCGTTGTACATACAGTAGAATAATTATGTACGGAACTTTAAGCATTAACCAAATTAATATCATGGCGGTATATATATGTATTCCGGCAAATGTGCTTAGGTAGGTCAGGTCGTACAGTCCACTCCATGGCCTGAGGGAAAGAACCAAGAATCGCAATAGACTAGGTACAAAGTACATACATGTAACCAACAGCAAAGACATACCGATTTCGCACCCCCTGTGCGTACGATATAACTTACATGCTAGTACCTATGATATTCAAAGGCCCTCAGGGATAGAGATCGAGGTTTTATTTTCCTTGGTTCCCAAGATTACGGGTGGACGTACATACTCTACGCCCATCAATCACATCACATTTTTCTTGAGGGGTACGCGCGTGAGACAAGACAATACAAGGAAACTCAAATCGATAGACTGCCTAAAGACCCTGTAACGATTTCAATTGCACGCGTGGAGCACTCTAACCTCCCCTCCCCCCTTGTTCTGCGTTAGTTACACGGACTACCTGGGAGTTACAAATATGTGGAGGTTCTAGAGTCTCTCTATTACCACTCCCGGTGGAGTGTGTACGACCGATGTCACGTTATACCACCCCTCTTGATGCCAAATATCAGGGGTTAGATAAAATGGTTAAGTGAGGATACGTATGTAGATAAGTTTGGTTTATTTTCTTCTTGGCATGGCGCACTTCTCGTCGAGTCTAGATAATCAAGGCGTTTCTCTGTGGCGATACTAGTTCTCACTTCAGCTAAGACAGTCAAGGGTTTACGAGTGATCATTTGTGATCATGAGGGGGCCGGGGCTGATTCAGAATATATACACTAATGGGATTGGTTTGAAACACATGGGAAATCAAGCGTTGGTTTCAGAGGGTTCCAGGATTGGCAGGGAGTAAGTGCATACATTTAGCGGCATGTATCGTACAACGGCCCGAAAATCTACGGCTTACATGCAAGGCAGCATCGTGGAAGTTGAATTTTGGGCGAGTTCGTATTCACCTAGAAGTATGAAAATCTAGATGGTTGATAAATTTAGTTTCTATGGTCGTACATATAATTCTACTCTCCCTACCCCTAACTAGTACGTGCTCAGTCCCACATGCACATCCTTATGCCAAAATGGAAACCCCCCCCCCCAAACATGGGCTACGTCAGTATCCGCCCACCTCAAACCCGTTCCCCGAGGTATTGAGCGCTGATATTTACGGCAGGATGTTACTCACGCTGTACCAACTGTATTGAGTTTTATACCCCTTATGGATTTTCCTATATTCAAGCCTAAACAAAAGCGGTTCCTCACTTCTTTTGCCGAAAGTTTGGCTCTACTTTTAAACCTTTCTACATGGGCTTATAACATTGGAGCTCGAGCTTAGATATCCGCCGAACATGGATAATTTGGAGAAAGTAATATCTCTCTTCTATAAAAAAAAATCTCGATGACTCCCAGTTAGAAGGAGTGGATTTAGTTTGGGGATCGCACGGAGGAAGAGATTCTGCATGGAGTGCATAGGGCAGTACTACATATTAGATTGGGTTTGAGGTTGGTCCCGGAGGCGATAAAAAGCCCACGGGTCAAGGAAGGTAATATGGTACACCCCTCCCATCCTTGAAGAGCAATTGTACTAGTGCCATCAGAGAGACAGGTCGTACGGGCAGCCATGGTTGATGTGGTAAGGCATATATGCCACTTAAACTCGTCCACATATACCTACATCTAGTTGTTATATATAATACGTTATCGTTGCGACGAGGAGGGATTATAGTCTAGTCAACTAACACAAAACGGAAGTACCGGGGGTGTAAAGGCAGCCAACTCAATACATGTAGTCATCCTCGATATACTAACATACATGTATGTACTGGTGAAACTAGAGCATACATGTGCCTACATGTATGTAGGGTTGAGTGCCGATAAACCAAGCCTGCAGGCATGGGCTTATGTTTCAAAACCCATGGACCCTGAGGGATATTTGGTGCACTTTTAAATTTTACCTCACGGATTTAGTACATTTCCCTTCCAAGTAAATATATGGACATACTAAGTAGTTAGTTAGGCTGTATGTATGTAGATGCATGTATCGAACAGATCTCAAAGAAAACGTTAATTTTGAGTGACAAGATCTCATATTACCCCCGGCCCGTCTCACAGTCGATGCTGCCAAATTTGAGACATACATATTTTTGACCACGCCTCTTAGATCTAGTACAATGTAGGTGATGATATGACGTATTCTCTCTGAAAGGGATAATATAATGTAAGTAGGATACTAGAAGTAAGGATGGGACCCTCTAGCGGGTGAGGAAATGCATCAATTTTGACATTTCCCATATAAAAAGTCGTGTAAAAGGCATTATTTGATGCATTACCTGACCGACTCTCTGGTAAAGGCATTCGATCTTGTCTCTTTATCGACGCTTTTACTGATGCCTTTCCCTGTCAAAGGCATTTAGCAACGACTTTACTAATGACTTTACTAATGACTTTACTAATGACTTTCCATGGTAAAGGCATTTATGGACGACTTTACTGATGACTTTCTAGTGGTTTCCGGTATTTCCCGTTTTCCGCCGGAATATCAATGTTTTCCGATGAAGACTTTTCTTTGGATCTCAAGATAGTTGAGTCCTCAAACAAAATATTTTTATAGGTTCATTACATGGTCAGGCATCAATGGGCTTGTAACAGTTGGGGAATACACTTTAATTTTGATAAATTTATTGTTTCGCATATACATACAGGCAATTCTAGCTTAATACTCCTAGTATGATAATAGGATGTCTTGTGGTGATCCGTTTCATTGGCGATGACATTCGTCAATCAGGTGAAGCATCACCGGCTGCCAAAACCTATCCCCCCATGTGTATACGCCCAAATTGCAAAACCGGTATAGCGAAAACATCAATGAAATTGCCTGTAAAGGCATCAGTAAAGTCATTGGTAAAGTCATTAAAAAATCGTCTGTAAAGTCGTCCAATTTCTCTTAAAACGACTTTCCCTTCACCAAAATATTGACATTTCCAAGCGAAAATTCATGCTCCAGAAACGACTTTCTCGACGACTTTACTTAATATTTTCAGGTACACATTACCGTGCACTCTGGAGCTTCAAAAATCTGCATGCACGAATGAATTATCAAAAATTAGCTAACCCTTTAAAGACCCGCATATACATGCATGAGTTATCAATCAAAATCAGCTCATCAAAAACCGAGATCTTGATTTGAGGCTCGAGTGATATCCTATGAAGCGTTCCGGTTACGGTCTTAGGTCTTGTGTTAATCTTCTTCGCGTTAACGTTCTCCTGAATTAATCAAAATAAAATGGAAACAGGCTAGCCAAAGAGTAAGCTAAACATGCAAGCGTTTCCCAAACAATCTGTCCCTCATATATATGCATCCAACTACTGTAGTGAATAGGTGTATGCGCGTGCATCATGAGATATCACTCCGTGCCATATAATTACATATCTATTGATTTTTTTTTTTTTTTTTAATTCATTAATTGTATGCAGACCGTAGTCTATGACAATATCACACTACCCCAGAACTTCCCAATCACTTCCTCCACCTCTCCAACACTAAGGAAAATAAGAAATAATCGCAAAACAATAGGCCAGCAGCCTGTAACAAAGAGCATCGTAACTTATGAAAGTAAGAAATAGTAACTTGTGAAAACGCCGTTAACAATTTGTCCTACTGCACGCCTGGTCCCTTGGCTCGCACGTCTAATTATCTATTGACTGACTGATTTGATTTGAAGAAAACTATTGATCTTTCCCCTCCGATTTATCATCCACCACTTCTCAACAGAATATTTCCGTTGGATTAATCTATCTTTCATAGTATATCTTATTCTGTTTATCTGTAGCACCACATCGTCGTTTCTCTAGTGGCCCGGACGGTATGCTCATGTTTTCGTAATCTTATTCCTCGCTCTAGCTATAGATCTGAGGTGGAATAATACTCCAGATATGTTTTCCGAATATCATCACATACCTCACAACTTGCTCATGTTATTTTAACTTAAATCTTTGATTTGAGGGTATGGAGCCGAGTAAAACTCGGTTGCGATGGTGGTGCGGATATTGGTTTTGCGGGTGGTGTAAGTAAGAGTAGGCTCAGGTATAATTTATGGCAGGTAGGTGGCTGTGGGGCCGGAGGGCGTCTCTTTCCTAACATGGTTTCTGCAAATTCGCAACTTCTAGCGCATTAATGTCACTGTGCATACTTTAGGGACTTTGAAGCGCTCTATCTTTTCGTCACGATCAGTTTCGCATCGCAGGTAGTACGCGGTGATACTATTGTAGTCCCGGCGTTGACCTTTGAACTTATTGAATAGATCTGCTACTTTCCTTCGTTAGCTGGCTAGGATGCAGAAATGGTTTCAATACGATGTCTTTCTTCAAAGGTAAAGAACTGATTCTAAGTTTGCCCGATCGCGAGTAGCGTGGTCCATGAGGCTGGTATCACTGCTCGATTTCGAGCCTCGAGCTGTTCGACCGCGAGATTTAGGTAATGCTCCTATACGTATAGCTATAATTAGTACTAATCTTTTAATTAAGGATAACCCTTTCAACTAGCTATGGGTAATTGATGTGTTCACTAGAGCTATCTACCTGGCTAATGTTTCTCGACCCAGACTCACTATCAAGATATATGTCAATTCAACATACGTGTAACTTGATTGCTTCGATCGAGTAATTACTCATACCTACATCACAGTTTCAACAGCCAAATTGAACTCTATAATATGTCTAAATATACTTCGAATTAATGTACGCCTCGAGCAAGGGATTGCACGCCTAACAAAGGTAGAGGAACCTCGAGGGAGTTGATTATTCTTGCCGGTGCCTCGAGCGACGAATATCGCGAACAAGACTAGAACTTCAACTTATAATTAGCCGTTGCCGTTTAAGCTAGGTTAAAAAATTGCAAAATACCCACGAATCGATAGTATGTAAGGTAGGTATATACATATATGGTGATATATAAAATTCACTCCAGTCTGCTTCATAGGTCTAGATCCTTCGTGAGTACTACTAATACTGACAGCAGTACGGAAGATGTGGTAATAATGATAAAATTTTAAAAGCTTTGAAGCTGATAATTTAGGAACTATCAGGGGGAGAGATCGAGGGTGGTTCCGGGTGGTTCCGGGTGGCTGGCTTAATTTTTACTTATGAACATCAGCACTCTAATCATCGCTATATACTTACTCTATGTATCCATTTGCCTTTGGAATATGTAGTCCAAGACTCCTGGGTGATTCCCTATAGCAATATTTTTGGAATGAGGCTTTACTATATGATGAACATTTCAGAGTATTTCGCCGCGTGTGATAATAATGGAAAAATGGACCTAATTCGGAAACAGAAGGGGAAAAAAAGATATGTAATACACATATTCCCAACAAGTTAAATCATACACAACCGTTGCCGTGCCAAGATAGAATGCTAGTGACCTCCCGTACAAGATTTGGGTCAGGACTGAACTCCACAGCCCAAATAAACATGAAAAATGAAAGACAAAATAATACCAGCAAACTTCGCTACATTAATTTTCTTACAACTTTGGCCCAGTCTCTAGGAGCTCAGCCGCTGCAGCAAGAATCGCTGGCTTCCCAGTCTCCACAACGGTGACCTGGAAGATGACCTTACCACCTTCTTTCCACATCTCTGTCCTCAAAGTCTGACCAGGGAGAACGACACCCGCAAACCTAACCTTCAAATTCTTGAAAGCGCCAAAAGTTTGATAGATATGCTTCCCAGAGATACCCATGAAGCAAAGACCATGTAGAATGGGAGTCTTGAAACCGCCGACTTTCGAGAAATCGGGGTCGATATGTAGAGGGTTTCTATCGCCATTCAACCTGTAAAGAGCGGCCTGGTCTTCGCTTGTCTTTTCCTCTACAACAGCATCCGGCGCCCTGGCAGGGGGTTTATTTGCGGCGGTTGCAGCGCCTCGGTCCGCAACCTTGCCTGGGCCTCCAAAGCCACCCGAGCCACGGATAAAAGTAGTACTCTCATTGACGAAAACAATATCTCCGGTTGAGTCTTTGGTTTCACATCTACTAACAACGACAGCCGCGGCACCCTTGTCGGCAACCTCAACGAGTGATGGGTAAGACGTCAAAGTCCCTGAAGTCGGAATTGGGAACTTTTTGATCTCAAGGAACTGTTCCCCATGTAGTAGCATCATAGGATTGAAGTTAGGGACGATATCATCCAAGTTGAAGGGCACCTCCGATGAGAAGTAGGGGACAACACCTGCGAACTGTTAGCACTATTTTCAACTCATATGGGGATATTTAACGCACCGAAAGTTGGCAAAGCCTCGAAGTTTTCGCTTCCTTCATAAGTCCACTTAAGATCCGTCTTTTTAGCACCGATGCTGAGATTGTAAAGGATGACCTCTCTATCGTCATACTCATATTTTGTTCCTACAGCTTGTGACCTTTTGGCCTTCTCAATGTTCTCGAGAATCTCCTTGTTCACACCGCCCTTCTTCTTTCCACCAGATTTGCGGTTCTGAAGATTCTCCATAACCCTCTTAAGACCATCTTGAGGACTCTCTGGGTTATCCGAACGTCCATCTTCGAATGTGACGATGTTCTCCCAAGCTGCACGGACAGCTTCCGGGGTGAGGGGAACATCAACAGGGAATCCATAGCCACCTGTCCGCTGCCAGCGAGTCCTCCCAACCCAACCAGAGCCTACTTCATATAGACCACCGGTGCCTGGTGTAGGGACCTTGTCAGAGGATAGAAAGACTACAAGTGGAGCAACATATTCTGGCTTGAAAGCTTGAACCATTTCCTCTGGCATTATAGTCCTCGTCATTGCTGTGCCGGCATTCGGGGCAATGGTATTGACAAGAATATTGTACTTAACACCTTCTCTTGCTAACGCCCTTGAAAAACCGAGAATGGCTAGTTTGGCGGTGGCATAATTTGCCTGCCCGAAGTTCCCATAGATACCACTAGTAGAAGTTGTGTTGACAATACGTCCATACTTCTGCTTCAAGAAGATAGGCCAGGCAGCCTTGGTGACCGCATATGTTCCGTTGAGATGAACGGCCATAACCTGATCCCATTGCTCATCGGTCATGGCAGCGAAAGATTTATCGCGCAAAATACCTGCATTATTGATAATGACGTGGACTGTCCCAAAGGAATTCACGCAGGTATCAATGAGGGCTGCACCATCCTCCACTGAATGCTTGTCACCAACAGCCTTTCCGCCAGCTTTACGGATTTCTGCAACAGTGGTATCAGGGTTCATAACATCGTTAACAACGACCGATGCGCCGAGCTTGGCGAAGAGAAGCGCATATGCACGGCCAAGACTACAGATCTTGTTAGTTCATGAGAGTAATAATTAATGATATCCCAATATTACATACCCTGCACCAGCTCCAGTAACCAGAACAACTCTATCCTTGAAGCTAATCTCCTCGCCTTGTTCGTTGCTTGACATCTCACCTGCGGCCTCGAGAAGTCCCATAAAATCTGCAGGCCCAGTGGGATGGTCTGGGTCGGTGAAATCGTTGACAGCATCCCACTTCCTTGAAATGGCGCTGGGGGTCAAAGAAGCATCGGTTTTGTATAAGGCACCTTTTGATCTCTCCCATCGTAATTTGGCGACATGACCGGCGCCAACCTCGTATATTCCACCTGACTCGCCGATGTTGGAATCATGAACGAGCACGGCAACAAGTGGTACAACCCAGTCTGGCTTGAGATTTTCTAATACTTCAGGGGGCATAACTGTCTCCGTCATCCTGGATGCAGCAATTGGTGCAATCGCATTAGTCATGATGTTGTATTTAGCACCCTCCTTGGCAAGAACTTCTGAAAAAGCGACCATTCCTAGCTTTGCGGCTATCAAGACAAGTGTGTTAGTTCACAAAGATTGGGAATTTCACAATCAACTCCAATGTCTTACCCGAATAATTTGTTTGACCAAAGCTTCCAAATAAACCGGCCGCTGAAGCCGTATTGATAATTCTGCCATATTTTTGTTTTCGGAAAATCGGCCATGCAGCTTTAGTACACTATGGAGGAATTAGCCAACTCGTTTAAACAATCTGTTATATCATTTACCTTGTAAGAACCCTTAACATGGACCTTTTGGATCAAATCCCAATCGGCATCCTTCATGTTCCGGAACGCAACATCCCTCAGAATGCCAGCATTGTTGATCAGAATGTGTACAGTTCCGAAGGCCTTGACAGCAGTTTCAATAATCCTCTCTCCGTTCTCTACAGAGTCATAATTTGCTACAGCTTTGCCGCCGGCCTTCTTGATCTCATCAACCACTACGTCTGCGGCCTAAATATTACTCGACGAGGAATGTCAGTTTATGATCCCGCACTGGCACTCAGGGAAAAAAAAGTGGTGGATAGGGCGGAAATGTCACCTTTGTAGAGTTCCCCTCTCCTTTGAAAGAACCGCCCAAGTCATTTACTACTACACTTGCTCCACGAGAAGCAAAGAAAAGAGCATACGCCTTTCCAAGTCCACCACCAGCTCCAGTGACGACGACAACCTTGTTGTCGTACCGGAGATTCTCTGCGGATGCGATGTTATTCATTACGCGGTGTCTGTTGTACTAATAATGGGATACGATGATTCAAAGGAAGATATGAAGTGGTACACTGTGGTTGCTGGAAATGAAGTTGAGAAGAAGAGAAGAGTAGCTGATGGAGGAGGAGTTCCGAGTTCAAAAAGGGCACGTTAAGGATCGCACGTGAAGACGGCCGGGGGGCTAGGGTTGAAGGCGAAGCTCGGGTATTCTGGGGAAGCTGATGATCGACTGTGGGGAGTGCTCTGAAGTATGAAACCTCGGCTGTTGCTAAGCACAAGTGACCTAGGTACACATCTGTAAATATGTCATTAATGAATCCTAGTGGCCGCCCCGGTCTTAACTAACACCAGAGACATATACATGTATCTACTCGTAAATTCATGCAATATTGGTCGTGTTCGGAAACGCTATGAATAGACGAGTACATGTAGTGAATGATGGTATGTCTTTAAAAATGATAGAGCGCCGTCCATACATGTACATGTATTCTATCTCTTAGACAACTAGTCCGTATTAGAATAGTAAAACTAACCATATACGGTATTTATGCTCTTTGAACGATTTTAGTGCTGATTATCGCATTGGGTCTATGGAATCTCTAGAGTGCTATGAGTAATATAACCCAAGTAGAACATTAAGATTCTGAGCATTCAGTGGGGCATTGCTTTTAGAGACGCTTTTTGGCGGGATAACTAAGGCTCTTTGTCGTGAATGTACCATCTATGCCATCCCTTCCTTCCTTCCATGTCTGAACCAAGTAGCGGCGCTATTATTTGCGAAGTCTCGAGCCTAGCCTGCCTATAGCGGTAGATACCTTGACATGACATACATACATACATACATTTCTTTAGAACTTTTCTAAGCGCAGTGCAGCTTCAGTTTATAGTCCTTTCGGGATCAATGGCGAATCCGATTCAATGGCGAATGCGCACTTATTAATATTGGCTACATATAATTGAAACTAGAAAAACTGTGTATATTTTCAATAGTAGAATGGCCAGGCCCCGAAATGTTCCTGTTGTGTTACTTTATACCCGAATCATGCTCCATGATTAGTACCGAGTTAGCGAAGTACCGAATCAGAATCGGTGAAGTACATGTAGTGTTAAATTAACTACTACAAGCATTTTCCGGCCTTTGGCCGGAGTAGGAACTGTAATGGCTTAAACAATATCAGTTTACCAACGCTTAAGATCACTGAAACCCCAAGATGCCCTGTGCACATATCTGATATACTATTTGGTTGACTCAAGGTATGTTGGAACCAATATCTACTGGCTGACTCAAACATATTTGATAGAATATCTACTAACTCCAACATATTTGATAGAATATCTACTTACTGACAAACATATTTGATAGAGAAAAAGAAAACCCCTCAAACCTGGCCAATCAAAACCTTTAAATAACACATTGCATATCGGTATATCTATATACTTATTAGATATTGGTAATGCCGACAATTCTATGAAGGCTACGACATGTCTTGGCGTACTTACTCTTGTAATAATTAACCGCAAGATTTATCACGTGACAACAGGTTTTTCGGCATCACGAAACGTTTTTGGCCATCATGTAACCTGCGGCATAGCGGCTAGCTCCGGAACACCCCATCACATGCTAACCCCACAATCTCACCCCCCCCGCCTGTTAACCCCATGGAGCAGTTGACAGCACTGGCGTTTGCACTGAATGCTGATACATGATACATCAGTGTACCTACTTGAGAGCCTCACGCAAGGTTTCAGTTTCGTCGAGCTTCAATCAACATGGCATCAGTAATCAAAGACAAAACCCCTCTCCTTACTTCCTTTCTTCTACCTTTGCTCTCTGACCACGTCTCTCGAAACCCAACCACTACCTCCCCCCCTTTTTTCCTCGGCATCTCCGGTCCCCAGGGTTCTGGAAAGAGCTCACTCGTCACCATCCTCGCCGCAAATCTCAGGGCTACCCCTCACAAACTCAATGTCGTTGTCTTCTCGATTGACGACATATATCGTACGCATGCCGATCAATGTGCTTTGAGTGAACTCTACCCAGACAATAAATTGGTTCAGCATCGTGGTGAGCCTGGAACTCATGATGTCGAATTGGGAAAAGAGGTTTTTCAATCATTGAGAGAGCAAAAGGAAACCAAAATTCCTGTTTATGACAAGTCCAAGTTCAACGGCAAGGGTGATAGGCTCAACAGTGTTGATTGGGAAACAGTTAAAGGACCTTATGATATAGTGATATTCGAAGGTTGGTGTGTAGGCTTTCGGCCGCTATCCGACGAGGAATTGAAGCAGAAATGGGAGAACAGCAGGCAAGCGCAGAAGGGGACATTAGGCAGGCATGCGTTGGAACATCTGCAGTTTATCAATACGAAACTGAAAGACTATGACTCACTGACAAAGTAATGTCCCCTCCAAAGTTTTGTTTGTATTTTAAAGATTATTTCGTACCCGAGACTCTGCAACCGGAGTCTCATTTCGGACGCAGACCTGAGTTCATGATTTTGTTAACAAAAACAAAGTTCACTTGACGCATTGATACATATGTAAGCCCCCTGCCTCCACCGTTCTCGCTACCGCTATCCGTAACAGTGGCCTAAATAAACGATCAGTGATGCAGAGGACACAGCATTCGTTTATGATTGGCGTATCCAGCAGGAGCACGGACTATTCGCCTCTCACGGTTCAGGGATGACCGATGATCAGGTTATTGATTTCGTGGATGGCTGTACGAAACTTCTTCCGCCGTTTTAGCTCACAAGGCATAGATGAATATTGACCGCTTCTGCAGATATGCCCGCATATGAACTCTATGTGGACACCTTGCGGCGAGGGGCGTTGAAGGAGAAGGGTAAGCAATTGAGGGTGGTTATTGGGAAGGATAGGAATACTTCCAAAGTTGTGAATCTGTGAAAAGAGGGGCCCCATATTTTATCTTCTATCGTCTACTGCCGCCTTGATCTCTTATATTTTAAATCAAATTGATTATATGTAGTTCGGAGTCAGGTCCCGTGATTGAACTTGTCTATAAATTTCGTAAATAGGAAGGAGTATTACTAATAACCACATGTGTGTAGAATAAATGTACTTTCGGTCGAATTCGTAAACCCATATCTACAGAATATTCTGCGCGAAGCTTCTTATCTAGTAGCATCACCAGTTATCACTCCCCCGGAAACCAATATGTATTACCACAGACCGCTAAGGCGGTGAGGAAGTTAGGTATATTAGGCGACTTACCATGGGTGAAGCTCTCCAGGGGCACGAGGGAGCACCGGGGAGTGGTTTCTAGAAGATAATCCAATTTCATGCTGGGTGATGAAATAAGATTTATTCGTTAAGTTTCTCACGTCACGACAGTTCACACTCTAGTGCGTTATCGGTTTCCGACAACACCACTTCTATTATCCATGTCAAATAGAGAAGCCCCAAACGAGACACAGACAAAATACCGCGTGGCTGTCGTGGCATCACGCATCATTGCGTACGAATGTACAGAAGAAGAAATACATGTACCAGCACTCAAAGTGGCGTAGTTAACCCTAACCCTACATACTAATAGGCGCCGAAGCTCAAAGTTGGCACCTTCTGAAAGCTCAGAGATACTGTTGCGAATGTTAGTATTTTATTCTGCCTGGCCACGAGCACTTCAACCGTCTCACTGCATTACCAGTCATTTAGAAGGGGAAATCCCGCAGCTGATTGTTTTTGAAAGGGCCTGGACGCTTTTACAATCCGCTGCTCTCTCGGGATCGAATATTGCTTAGTGCACGCGCACATCATAGAGCTCATGCTAGCAGATGTTCCTCTGGTTCTCCATGTATCAAAAAATGATATTCAATACTAAGATGTACTGAAGTTCAGCCGGTGCCATATGCATACCATGTACCTACTCTCAGAAATTGATACCTACATCATTGCCATGCAGGGGTGATTCTTCCAAGCTCCGCCCGCCCGCCCAAAAAAAAAAAAAAAAAAAAAAAAGCAATCTAGAGAACGTTGTGCAGGAGGAAACAACTTCACGAGGATATGTAGTTAATGATACCTACCAAGCTGTCAAGTCGACGGGTTGGGGCCGATAATAGTGATAAAAGTCTTAGAGTAGTTCTTGGCTGTATATGCGCTGTTGAGCGCGGATGCAATGTCCCGCCCGCAACAGCTTAAGACCAACAAAAAACGGCTGTCATGACTTAAAGTTAAAAAGAAGAGGTTGAGGCAAAAGACAGACAACGGCGACTGGCATCTTGATCTATCACAAAAGGCAGGGTAACTCATTAGCTGTCACAATGTAGGTATTTTGCCCCCGCTACCATCCAAAGTTGGTTATGGCCTGGCCATCGCGGCCGACAGAACCATGCATGAATCTTATTTCGTCAGCTAGACAAGTCAAGCAGCCAGTTTTTACTCACTAAAAAATACATGAGTAATTATAGGGTCCCAGTCTCGTGCCCATCTCCTAGCATAATGGTACTCTCCCTGATCTTTCTACAAATCAAAGTGACGCGGATATATTCAATGTCAGTATAGGCGCTAGCTATTGCCATTTCTATTTCGTGTGAATGGGCGATCAGCAATTACAAGCAGTATTATTTCGAACTATTTCCGTCGTACCGCAGTATCTTGATTAATCTTATTGGCATATATATATCATCTTTCGTGATCCTCTTTGGGAGGATACATACAAAAGGTTGCCAGCTGCTCATCTGTTGCTCTGAGGTTCGCTCGACGCCACTCCCTTAATTGCCTCCTTATTCTCCTCACATACATCCCCTTCCCCTTCCCCTTCATTTCCCTATCGACTGCACGTTCTTGTCGTAGTGTGATCCTGCTTTTGAGTCTGCCTCACGGCTAAGTATGGTGATAGGGTGCTCGAAGGGAGAAAGGACCAATCTCGCCTCGGCAAATCACCAACCGGTTGTCGTTCAAATATTATATCTGTAATCGGCACACTTTTGAGTTCTTTTGCGCAAGTGGTGCAGCTATAGAGCCCATAGCTTCCGCTGCTGGTCGAGAGAGGTCGAACGCTTTGCCATTTTACCCTTCTCCCCCGCCAACTTTGTGATACGCAAAACGGTCAACCCCCTGTAATTGTCCGTTCCGGAGTCCCCCACACTTTCAGTATTTGATTTAATTCGCCTGCCGTTGCTGTTGCTCTTCTGCAAGTAGGCCTGCTTGGTTGGTGCGGCCATTGCCCTGGCCATCTCGTATTTCAATCCAAACCGTATACAACCCATTTCTACATTTATAAAGGCAGCACAGGCTTCTGGTTCTTATCAAACTCGGACGTGTCCTTTTTCCCCCTTCCTTTCTTCTTTTCACGATCTACGGAAAGGTCTTCTTATCGGGTTTCGAACTTGGGTTACTTTGTTTGCCTACGGCTTCCTGTATTCCTGGACTGGACGCTCTTTTTCACAATTGACTAAAAGGTTCCTTAGTCATAATGGATATCACTTTTATTACCATGCATGACCTGTCGGCCGGTAATGCGCGCTATCTCTTCTGCTAGTATAGGCCTTAGTTGGCGTTTTTTCATGAAACAACATTTTTACTGACAAAACGTCACATACAAAGATGCCAGGCTTCTTTTCGCCTCTGACTCGATCACCGAAGTTCTTGGATACAATCCACGAGATATAGTAGGCAGGTCTTGCTTCGAATACTTTCACCCAGATGAAATGCCCTTTGCTCGCTCTGTTCATGGGCGGGGTGTAAATTTGGACAAAGCTGCGGTTTTGTCATATTGCAAGCTGAAAAGCATCACGGGCGATTACGTTACTTGTGAATGTGTTTTTACTGTCGTATATTCAGTCATCGTAGCATCAACGAGTTTATACACACGCAGTAATAAAAGCCTAGGTTTGTCTTCTCGAATCGGTTCTTTAAAGATATATATTTTTAATATCCGTTCTGTTCAATAGATCGAGCACTTACTGCCCCTCTTATCCGCCGCGTTTTCTCGTCGTCACAAAGAGATCCAAGGTATCATATGCTCACACATCTGTCCGCGAAATTCAATTCCGCACCTGAAGGACACCATGAGCCACGAGCAGCGCTAATCCTTAATCGGTTCACGCGGACCTTGACAATTTTATACGCAACACATGCTCTTGGTGATATACTTAATTTCCCCCCGGATGAGGCGATCGGAAAGAGTTTCTACGAATGTATCCAAGAGAACTGCCTGCAAGAAGCTGTGGATGCCCTCGAAAGGGCGAAGGAAAACGATTCAATTGCATACTTGAGATTCCAATGGAGGGATCCTAGACAGGCACCGGCGATAGCGGCGGCAGCAGCAGCAGAACAGCGACGTCGTAGAGATGCTCCCCAGAATGGTAGTAGGAATCGCCCGGGTACAGGATTCCACCAGGCCGAGGGATCTCGTTCAGCAACTGTTCAGAATTGGGTGGATAGGGACGATACGATGAAGAGTGTAATGAAAGACCAGGACACAGATATGATAAGTGACGAGGAACAGGGGGAGGACGATGAGGAAGAGGGGGCATACCTGAGTGGCAATTCTACCTCCCAGTCTAGTATGTCACAATCACCCGAACCAGTGGTGGAGGTTGAAGCAGTGATTTCATGTACCTCAGATGGGTTGGTGGTTGTTCTTCGGAAAGCTCGGCCCACCGTCCCTGCGCCGCATCATCCACCGCTGTATCATGGAGTTTTTGCGTCGCCATGGGCTCATGCTCCTCTTGTTCCACCAGCACAGCTCCCTCCTGTGCCTGGAGGCCCTCCGGCAGGAGATTTCATGGATAGTATACGTCAAGTGGCAGTCTTCGCATGGAGTTTACGAACAATCAATATGGACATGCTCCAGTACGCATCAAATTCTGGCCCTGAAGAGGCGGACCCCAAATACACTAGAGGCAGCTGAAACACTCGTTAGAAGAAAGCTCGTTGCAGTCAATGTCCGAGTAATATCGGTCAGTTTGTATCATCGCCCTACTGTATCTTTCAGCGTGTTTCGGGAACTCTATCACTATATCATTTTTTGCTACGTTTTTATTGGTTTGGACTTTCGGCCCTATGGCCTAAAAGTCTCATTGTGTTGACGGAAGGGTGGATCTTTTTTATTCTATATTTACATCTATATATCTATAAAAGTTTGGCTTTTTCGTTTATGTGCTAGGAGAGAATTATGTTGGACGTTATTGGTGGGGGGCTATTTCGAATTTCGCTATTTATCATTTCCGCATTATTCGTGTTTCATTTCATTTCGGTTTAATTTTCTGTATTCTTACATCTATCGGGGTTAAGTAGCCGGCCGGTGTGTTGTGCTCCTTGTCGATTTCTCCTTCCCTTTTCGTTCGTTTCCTAATATTGTGTAACTGATTTTACTTGAATTTATTTCTGCCGTGTTAGTTCTAACCAGTTAGGCCTAGGCCTATTTCAAGTTAAGTACATATATGTATGTACCTCGATCATGAATTCTGTTCATCATCGTCGTGATCATTACCATTTTTCGTTAATCCCGTGCTACATATTGTTTTCATTTTTTCTTTAACGGTGGATACCAGTATACGAGCTCGTTAGTTGGTCGGAATACATGCATACACATACACACATATGCATTCTGGTTGCATCTATATATTCTGCGTCGAGCAAGCCATGCATGAATGGTGTGGGGCGGGGCCGGGCATAAATAAGTTATGTAGTCCTTAGAACAGATGGTAACGTGACCCCAGATGGGCTTACACAAGATTAAAGTGTACAGCACGAGGATCTGAGCGGCCATGGCCAATGCATGGAAGGTTGATATATATGATACCGTCGGTGGTGGGTAAATACGTATAAAATTGGTATTACAGAAAACAATTATCTAAACAAGGAGGCTGCAGCTGGTACTACATGTAGTCAAGTACAGGATTTCATGTCGATATCCCTCTCATCCGGAAAAAATTAATGGGAGACAGAATACTACTAGTGAGAGGCAATTCAGGCTGGGAAATTCGACCAATCTTTATATAAAAAGAGGTTGTTCTCTAAAATACAGCTCCACGGCCGGCCACTTTGATCTCTGAATTTACCCAACTCCTACGGTTCTTTTGGATCTGCTTCCGCAGTAGTATTTAATAGCATTATACAGCTACATGTATATAGTACAAGTCTAGTGGTCTAGATTTCATGCCTATGAACTATAAGGTCTTTCCTCTACGACTCAAATATCTCATAAGCTTCATATGTTTGGGAGATAATTCTTGATAAACCATTTTTTAGTACTTACCATGATGCATGTGCGATCAAAAACCTGACGCTTTTATAACTATATATAATCTCGTGTATATACATGATGTAAGGCCCGGGTCGCAAATACACTAGTAATACAATTGCTGGCATGATGGGTTGTGTATGTACTACATCCATATAGGTTGTGCCTGCTTTACTTTGAAATACTATAGCTAGACCCGGCCCTTACTTAAGTTTTTGAAAGAACTACATCTTGAACCGCTAAAATGCGGAGGTACTAGTACTGTAAAGAAAGTAGATCGGGAAAAAGCGCGCTATTACTAGTATATATATATCAATTCTCTCAACACTAATTAATCGGCTACCGTGCAGACCAAACGCTTAAGGATACTCCCTTTTTGGTTAAATTTATTATTTACATATTTAACAGGTAGACACCTACGCATATGCATAGGATTGAGGTGGGCAGTACACACAGCGGAGATCAATATATGATGTAGTTATTAGCTAGAACCATGAATGATCACTCGGTTTGCTACAGTTCAAGTACTGGTTAGAGAAATTCTTGGTGGTTTATTACGTAATAAAGATTCCTAGGTATTTTCACTCAGATGATTACCAACAGGAGCTACACTATATTTATAGCTCGAGAAGCTATAGGGCCAGGGATAAATATATAAACTTCGGACTTTTCTAAATAAGTAGGTATGATCTGCAGAAACTGGAATTCCTACCACCAAAACAGAGTTAACACCCACCACATTTTAACCAAATGCGAAACAACTGAGGAAGTCAGAAAGGCCGACCTAAAACACCAGACAGTCCTCAAACTGCTCTGGACCGCAACAGGCATTAAAACCGCACTTGCAATTTAGACACGATTCACTAAATGGCGCCACGAGAGGGGGGAAGAGACGAAGACACAGAGGAGGAGATCAGGGAAATGGGACTAGGGTGGGGAGGACTGAGGGACAGCTCATAGGAAAGAGGGGGCAATGAATGGACAAGGCACCGGAAAGGGAAATTGCTAGGAAATCATGAGTTACTATGTTATTTTTTCTTTATATAAGTGAGAGGCGGAGGAGGTTAGCAGGGTAGTTCTGGGGTAGTACTAGTGCGATATTGTCATAGCTTAAGGGCTGCATACAATTAATGAATTAAACAAAAACAAAAACAAAAAAAAGAGTTAACACCCGGGCTGACGGTGACCCTCCGAAGTCCTCGACACATGACCGGTTACCCCCCACGTATATATATGATATGTAGTTATATATATAGCTTCTCGCGCGCTATAGCAATTGAAACGCTCAGAAGTATTAAGGTGAGTTGAAGTACCTATAACATATAGAGCTACTAGAGAGGTATGGCTTAAAAGCCTGCATGGAGTTGACCGGCCGCTAGCTATATGTAATTAACGTATATATAACCGCCAAATCATGAACTGATTCAAGATAGATATTATAACAGTATGCTGGTATAGGTGATATGTACTTTATTTAAGTACATGTACATAATCTAGTCGTAAGCTAGGGCTACTAGTGGCGCCGATAGTTCTATAGGTGATATGATGCGATCCGAAGTGTGAATATATTGCATTTAGTCATGGATTCTGACTCGGACTAAAGCCAACGAAAACATTATAAATTTGAACTTGTTTACTTATATAGTGTACTGTATATAGCACACATATAAATATATATATAAATGACCCTTTGTAATTTTTTGTAGCTCTAGCTCTGGTACGCAAGGAGTTCCTAGACGGCCCTAGCTGGTATATTAGTATACTACATGTATTATTTGTAGTTCACATCTGTAGATCTAGAAACCTGCATATAGACCTAGATTTGAGAATGGGGCCAAGGGCCTTGAGTTCCATATATAGTTCAAGTTGTTCTAAGGTATTTGCATTTTGGATCTTGACTAGCTTCGCTATCTAACCGCACTCGCCGTTCTTGATATGTTCTGACTGATAGAGCAAGTCATCCGATCCAGAAAATACTAGGTCGACATCTTTCTGCATATTGGGATATATACCTCATCCGGCGCGGGCCCGACAAGATATCGGCCTTTCTGGATGGAACGTCTTCCTGGTTCGGTCAGATATATTAGATTATTTAATTAGCTATGTAGCTGGCCAGACCTAGAGCCGGACTTTTGAGATGTACTTCCTTGAAGCTTTATGTTGAGAGATTTGAGCGAATCACTGCTTAACTTCATTTACCAGGCTCAGCAGGACCGGGGGTTAATACTACCGGAGCTGAAGTATTCGTTTACTTCAGGGGTACCGTACCATACAGAATTCAAGAAAACTCTACTATATATTTAGTGTAAAAGAGTTTAATGGCAGTCCCTTCTGCAGATCTGGTTAAGACTTCTAATTAGGTAGTGATATGAGGCTGTGGGGGACTGCAGTACACTGCAGTACATTGATACATACTACGGATGTTCACACCCCCAGTAAAATCTTATTGGAATTTGCGCTCTAAACCTAAATGATTGATATATATATCCGTGTTTTGTGTATGATCCTATGAGGTATCTTATAATTAAACCACTGCGATTACACAACTGTGAAGTGATATACTCTACTTACAAAAAAAAGCTAAAACCTACATGCATGGTTTCTAAACCTGCATGAGCATGTTGCTCTCCCAGTGTCAGTAAAGGTGCGAATGCAATAATCGTTGATGATCATGATAAAGCCAGGTCGAGAGTGGTGACATGACGGTGACGGTGATCTAGAGTTCTCAGGCGGCCGTGGCTCCGGCGAACGTTCGTCCGCCGCGCCGACCGCGATGAGGATAAAGTAATCTTACTACTAGATTGACTCCTTCACGGGGGTATGGTCAATTCCAAGATTTTGAATAGAAACCAAAGAGGTATTCGATCGGCACCCTGCGTATCATGTATCACTCCAGCGTATATTTGAGTTTGACCATACCCCGTGTTGACCGTACCCAGTGAAGGAGTCTAGAGATTTTTGATTCGATAATGGGTGGCTAGTTCGTACGTGCGGTATTCACGAACAGATACCGAGTGTCGTCTTATTGGGCGGCATTATGACCGTTTGGATTGGGAGCCTTTCATGAGCTTGAGGATGATCATGAGAAGCTCGAGGATATGTAGGTATGTAGTACTTTACTACCACATACATATGTCGGACGCAGATCCTACTTAAAACAGTTAGTAAATACCTCTTCAATGTGGAAAAGGATAGAATTGGCCCGGCACCGCGGTGAGCATCCAAAGCGCTATCGATCGACCATGCCTGTGTGTCATACATATATCACTTATCTGTCGAGCTTGACCTACTATATTGCCAATGAACGCAGTTATGTGTTTGTATATAAGTACATGTACTTTGTAGGTTCCGCTAAATGTTGATTAAATACATGTATGTAGGATTTCCGGCATTGCCAGAATGTTGCTTTATGATTTGTAGTAGCTACATACGTGTAGCCTCTAGAGTTCTTTACATTAGCGAATATGAAGATCAATAGATCTGACCAACTATATATGTATTTATTCCAGCATCCGTCCTTTACTCCAGATCAATATTGCTCCCAGCAGGCAGAACGAAACAAGTCTACTAATGTTAATGGCAAAACACAGAACTCAATTTAAAATCACAATCACAATAACGTCAGCCGGAGCGACTATCGATTTTGATAGTACGCGCAAATCAAGGCGCTTGCAAAGTAACTGGAGTTGATTAATTGATGGTGATCCTCTCGACTTTTCTATAAATCTTCACGTCATCTTTCAACGTCTTTGTCCCCCAAGCCAAAAGTAGATCGAAAGAATACCCACTCCCACGATAGCATCAGACAATTTAGACCACCTCCAATACCAGGTCCGTACAACTATAGATGTCTACTCGTAAATTCCTGACGTTTCCGAACGCGACTGCTATTGCATACCATACAGAAAAGCGCCAAATACTTACCTTTTTGTATGCCATGCAATATTGGTCGTGTTCGGAAACGCTATGAAATTACGAGTAGATTCATTGGACTTTTGATGAATAGACGCCTTCCCTGGCCACCCGAACACCCCCCTCACCCGAACAGTTGAGTATGATTGGTACAGAAACCGTTACGCGTTGCTTTCTTTTTTGACGTTGAATGTTCGGGTGCATGAGGGGGGTGTTCGGGTGGCTAGGGAAGTCGTCTATTATGAAACCATGACCCTGCATGTAGGTATCTACTCGCGACAGGCATGAAGTACCCGAATATGCAGCTGCAAGTTTTTGGTGTATTTTTGACTTCTACTCCAATGGAAATTGCAGATTAGGACGTGCATTTTCGGGTACTTGTTACCTGCTGCGAGTACTCTAGTACTGACATTTGTGGACGCGACTGATATTGCATGCCATACAAAAATACGCCAAGCTCATGATTTTGGGTGTATGCAATAATGGCCCAGTTCAAAAACGTCAGTAGTTAACTATATCGGTGCAATTATTACCTATTGTACATGTATATAATATACTTGTTATAATAATTAAAGCTGATATAAGAGCCCCGACTAATAACTGAATTGATGGGTGATATGTCGCATCTGGATCTAGCTAGAGCTAGATACCTGTGGCCACGCACTCGAGCTAACTCTGTTTCTCTAGACCTGCTGAAGGTTGGATTTCCTGTCTTATAAGATGCCATCCAACCCCGAGTCAATGATAGCCATGTGGTTCTAAACTGGCCCCAAACTCCTTCTAGAGCACGTTTGGTAGCTCAGTCAACCGAATATCTCTATTCGGCCGATTACGTACCGCAAGATTGGTGATATAGGCATGTGATGGTACTATTCTTGAGCAAGACTTTTGCTAAGTTGCTACATACCAGTCTATCCAACCAACTTATCTCATGCAGCCTTGCATTGAAACCTCACGACATTTGCGAAACGGGCTCTAGATCTTAAGATCTTGTAAAGTAATCTATGGATAAATCATCCAATACATATAGTGAACTTGGAAAGGCCCGGGTACACGTAGCTCCGGTATATACATCCATTTTTAGTCTGGGCTCGAATTATACTAGACAGTGGAGGGATCCGGATACTACATTGAGTATATGTATGTACTCTACTGCTGCGTCACGTGCCCCTCCTCCGACATCTACCATAGCGTATCTATCTTCAATAAAACCCACTGTTCAAAACCCGCATGTCTAGGCCCACGAATTGATTCAAACAGCCGAGACAAATTCATCATACCATACTACATGTAGTACTCTTTGGTACTCATTCTAGGAAGAGCGTCGAAATTCAACATGAAAAGATATATAACGTCCGTGATACATGTACGCACCACAACACTTATAATTAAATATTAGGACGTAACATAACGCCAGCTTCTCTATCAGACAACATAGGTATATCACATGGATATACGTAAAACAATTTGTTTTAACTTAACGCGAGGGTGAGGCGTCGGTGCCGGCGTATGTCTGTACATGTACACTGGTGATTGAACGGCCGATTTTCTTTGTCAAGTATCACCCAAACGTATACGTATAGTCATATAATCTCAGTGAAGGGTAAACAGATCTAGACATGAGCCCTCACTCTCTTAAAAAGCCGGAGGGAAGAATTTATTTAGCTTTCATATATAGCTAGATCGATACCAACTATATAGTTATATGAGGGTGTCGACTAGTGTCGGGAGTATTTCATGCCTGTTCAAGTAGTATTTCATAAATAAAACCATCACTGGTTTGAGTACGGCAATCCGCTTTGCTTGCGGATTATTCCATAAATGCTGCGCGTATGATTTAGTAAGAGATAGGTTATTCCCACGGAAAGGGGGGGCACATACGCTGGTAAATCTGCCTTTGGTCCGGTTTCCTCCTTCAAATCCTTCAGGTGGCCGTCGAGGACTTTCAATACTTGCATATCAACACCGACTTTAGCCGCTAGATTGATACCGTGGCCGACGTCCTTTCTAGCCAAATCTACTGCAAAAAGCGGCTATAGATGGTTAATTGCCACCGGTTAGATATTGCAAAGGATAACATTAAGCTAGTTTTGGGTGAGACCCCGGGTTTGATGCAAATTATTATTGCGCATGGAGGCGATAGACCAGAAGTTCGATAAGCCGCGCGCGCTTGGAGGTTTCTTACCTACACCGCGCCTGTTTGCATCAAGCCCGGGGGTCCTACTTTCAAAACTAGTGTATACGTTATGTAGAAATGGCCATGAGTGTGTTACCTCATCACGCATATAATCGCCAGTCATCATTCGAGTAGAATACGCAGCATAGGGCCCCGGAAACATTGCTTCGAAAAATTTGTGCAAAGCTTCCGATCCCAGACCGGATTTCTCTGCGAAAACATGTCCCTCTGCAACGGTTTCAACCTGCCAATTCGCATTTATTAAGCTATTCGTCTGAAGAATTTGGAGGTCAAGAAATATTTAGCGAACTGTAGGTATATACTGACCATAGACAGAATAGCAGTGTTCCCTGTGATTTTCAGTAGGGTCGCCTTTCCAGGGCTCTGGTCGCGAAGATCTATTGTCGCACGGGCAGTACTGTAAAAAAGATTTGTCAACATGGTATTTCAGTGCTAAAAGATAGAATTTGAAGTGTACTTACACTCCTTCGCAATATGGAAGAATGCGGTCTACAGCTGCAGACGGGCCAGCGAGTACCACAATAAGCTTACCTAAATCTGCCATGAGTGGTGCCCCGAAGACTGCCTTAATGATTAGCCATTGGAGCATAAAAAAAATCAAATATTTTATTGAAAATACTTACTTGGAGCAGCGACGAATTCGGCGCCTCCACTACGCATTTTCTGTGCAACAGCATCCGATGTTTCTGGCAAGATGGTTGATGTATCAACGAATAGTTTTCCCGTCACACCACCTGATACCTGCAAGGCGGTATCAAGAACCGAGTTGACAGATTTATCATCCCCAAGCGAGGTAAATATGATATCTGCCGCCTTCACAGCTTCTTCAATTGATTCCACCACCTGCACGGAATCCGGGTTCTCTAAAGAAGCCTTGAAGTCTTGGCTGCGCTTTCCCGTGCGGTTATAGATAATCAATGGCTTATCAAGATTGGCTTTTGAGACGATGTTCTTAACCATTCCCTAAAAGAATTTTAGTATGCATTTCATTATTGCCCACAATATCAATATAATCTATGATGTATCTAGAAATATGCGTGTAGAGTGCTTTATAACTCCGATCCTTTCAATCTTTTGCAACTGTAACTGTAGATAACTGGAGAGCTTACCCTTCCCATGTTACCCAATCCAATCCATGCTAGCTGAGGCGCCATGATAATCGTAATTTTGAATGGGTTGTTGGGCCAAAGGTCGTTCGAGATGGCCTTCAGCAGAGCTTGCAAGCTTGGACAAACGGGTTGGGCCAAGATCATTTAAGACCCAATCGTTTAGTCACGTGTAATGCCATGTCCACCGATTTTCCCCGCGACCGGCAAAACGTCGGTAACTCAACGTCGGTATTCGGGCTCGTTACGATATAACTAATTGTGTAACTACTCTACAAATTTTTTTGAATTCCCCGGCCCCCCACCTGTACCTATTGGCGTTTTTAAACTGGGCTGCTATTGCATAGGTTACAACCTCCTGGCCATCGTTCCCGAGACCCAAAGGAGGACGGGAAAATCCTTCCATGCGCCGGCCGGCCGTTCTCAGCTATTTTGAATTAGAGCAATAGAATATTCTGGAAGTATGTATATATAACCTACTAGTACTCCGATTTATAGTATTCTTGTACTCAATTGTTGATAAGTTTTCAGCCTGTCTTGATGTTAATAATACTATTAAAAACAGCTGTTACGATTTGACCCAATCCAGTTGGTCATCCCCTGGGTCGAATCCCCGAACCTCAATCGATAGATAAGGGCACGTTTTGAAAATGTGCAGTTTTGTCCTGAAGTTTCAAGTACCTAAATGGGTGGTAACATCGGATGGGATTAGGACGAGTAAAAATCATGGTTTCGTGGACCAATTGCCCCCCCCCCCAAAAAAAAAAAAAAAAAAAAAAATTAATTCAGAATGTAATCTGCAATGCAGTTAGGAATCATGATCATTCACGGCCCGAATCCCCCATAGCCCAAAGATATCTAAGCAGCCAAATCAGAATCATGAGACAGTATCACAATCACATATCTTTAGATTTTTAATAATCGGCCGAATACCTAGTGATAATTGATTTCAGTATCTGCTAGGAAGTGCCATTAGAGTTGGGAGTCAGCGGTTACAATTAATTCTGATCATTCTGATAGCTCCCCCCAGCGAGCGCGCGCCTAGCACCCCCAATGTCCACAAAATGTAGTACTCTAACTAGTATGTAGGTGTGGATTTAGAGTGCTCTCAGCTATGGATCTAGCTATGTACATAACCTTTTATGACCGCTTTTCAGTACTACATGTATATATATACTTCAGAAAACTACAGTCACTTTTGGAGCAACGAAGAGCCTGGGGCAATGACGAATACTGGGTTTCGGCCAATCAATTTGCTAAATATCGGCCTGAGCGTCGCCCTGCCTGACTACCAATAGTCCTTGCTCGTCGTCCAACCAGTTTCGCCGTTGCTCCACAAGCGACTACACATGTAGTGCGCCCAACTATATTATACAGTAGTACCGCTGTAGAGGTAGCCTATCCCCTGGATGTATGAGACAGTGGGAAATCTCTCTCATGCATGAACGTTATGTGACCTTGAATTTAGGTAGTAGAGCGTCCGGGTAAGCAGCTTGCTGCCTTTGTCGGTCTCTGGGATACTTAATGGTGCTATAAAGTTCGCAGCTCGCTGCCTTACTTCAGTCAATCATTCCCTGGAAAGGCCACGCTAATGCATGAGAGAGCCCACTGTCTCATACATCCAGGGGATAGAGTACAGTCGTCCGCCGATATAACGAACATGCATATTCCAAAGTTTTCCGTTCGATACAGCAGTATAGCAGGCAAGTTTCTATGTGAAATTTAGATTCGGATCACCGAAACCCGTTCGTTATAGCAAATTTGTGGCTTTTTTTGGCTGTACCTACATGTATCTTGGTTTTGAACCTTGATTGGTCAGAAGGACGGGCCCTAACCCTGCATGGCGACCAGTCCACCCACTTCAACTTCAACTTCAAGCCAGAGCATTAGCTATGGGGATAGGGGGGGCCGCAAGGCTCCCATCAATTGAAAAGCTGTAAGGAGGTAGGAACTCTACATACATACAGTATCTCTGCAGCTGCTTTAGAGTAGCTATAGGTCTCGTTGGCAGGGTCGCCGAGGTGGTCGCCTGTTAAGCCCTACTCTTTCGTTGTAAATTATAAAGCTGTATGTAGCTCTACTTGGCATGTAGTTGCCGTACATCGCCAAGATTGAATCCCTGGAATAAGATGGCAATTACATGTAGCTCCCTTGGCAAGAAAAATGTATTGCCGGGCACCAGCCAATCCTGTTCCCTCAAAGCGTCATCCCGGGGGAATTGATAGTCAGTTATCAGCTAGAAGCTCTTTTTTTTTTAAGGGAAAAAGCATTGGTAGGGTACATCTATGTAGGTACACAGCTGCTTCTTACATATATAACCCCCCTCGGTCCGCCTGCTTTCCGTCCACTACCATACACTCTTCAAGCATCCCTCCTCTATACAAGTTCTCCAATTTTGCAAACTCTACTTGATACTCAAATTGACGACAACATCAACTAGAGCACCCATTTTGCATTTAATTTCTTTTTAACAACAACCATTTCTACGCACGGTCATCACAATTTGCGTATGCAAGATGATGCCAAGAATATTCACCCCCGAAGTCGTGAAGGACCCATGTTTCAGCAGCAGCAGCAGTCTTCTCCAGAACACCTTGTCCTCTCCTCTCCAGCCTACCTCCTCACAGCAGAAGAAATTGTACAACAGCTCGCAACAGATACAGACAATGGATTATCTGAAGAGGAAGCACAGCGCCGAATAACAAAGTATGGGCTCAATGAGCTCGAAGCCGGTGGTGGTGTCAGCGCGTTCAAGATTCTCATGGGACAGATATTCAATGCCATGGTTTTGGTAACTTTAATCTAGATTTGATATGAGCTCGGTAATAACTGTTTCTGACAATACTGTAGATTTTAATCATGGCTATGGCTGTCTCATTTGCGATTAAATCTTGGATCGAAGCTGGTGTCATTACCGCGGTGGTTTTTATAAACATCATTGTCGGCTTCTTTCAGGAGTATAGCGCAGAGAAAACAATGGATTCATTGCGGTCTCTCTCTTCTCCAACAGCTACGGTTATTCGTGCAGGCCAGTTGAAGACTATAAGATCTCTTGACCTCGTTCCCGGCGATATTGTTGAAGCCAAAATGGGCGACACAATTCCTGCTGATTTGAGGCTTTTTGAAGCAATGAGTATGTTCAAGTTTTCCTCCTCTTGGTGAAAGTTTGGCTAAGTCGTACTTTAGACTTTGAAACAGATGAAGCTCTCCTTACTGGAGAGTCTCTCCCTGTAGCAAAGAATGCTGGTGCATCTTTCAAACTCGAAGATGATGCTGGTGTTGGTGATCGTATCAATATGGCATACTCTAGTTCCACGGTCTCCAAAGGGCGTGCGAGAGCTATTGTTGTTAGTACTGGTATGAACACTGAAATTGGGAAGATTGCCGAATCTCTACGTGGAAATGATAGCAAGATACGCGATGTTTCGCGCGATGAGAGTGGTCATGCTACCTGGGGTGCCTATATAATGGCTGGTCTCTGGACTGTTTTGGACTTTGTTGGTGGTTTCCTCGGTACATCCGTTGGAACGCCTTTACAGAGGAAGCTCAGTTGGCTGGCAATCTTTTTGTTTGGCATCGCAGTAGTCTTTGCTCTTATTTGCCTTGCTGCGAACAGCTTTAGCAGTTCGCAAGAGGTTATTCTATATGCTGTTGCGTGAGTTCTCTTCACGCGCCGAGATTCTACAACAATTTAGCTAATTGTTTGACATAGCACTGGATTGTCTATGATACCCGCTAGTTTGGTTGTAGTACTTACTATTACCATGGCTGTGGGTACCAAGATCATGGTCCAACGTAACGTTATTGTCCGCAAGCTTGATTCGTTGGAGGCACTTGGTGCCGTAACCAACATTTGCTCTGATAAAACAGGTACCTTGACACAAGGGAAAATGGTTGTGAAGAAGGCTTGGGTTATTGCAGAAGGTATGTTAGGTCTCAAGTATAACTTTTATAGCCCTCTAAAGATTTTAAGGAACATATACGGTTGGCGAATCTACCAATCCAATCGATTATACCTCCGCCGAAATATCATTTACGGAGACTGCTCCCTATGATGCCTTTAAGAGTCAAGGGGCCGCCACAGAGAAAAAGAACGTATCACCGTTTAAACCTGCTTCAGAGTTTATAAACAGGAGCTTTCTAAAGCAGTACTTGAATGTGGCAACATTCTGCAATCTTGCAACAGTTACTCGTAATGAAGAGACACAGGAATGGAGCGCTCGTGGAGACCCCACTGAAATTGCCATCCAGGTCTTTTCTAGTCGATTTGACTATGGTCGCCGTAAGTTCACAAGTGGTGATGCGCCTTCGTGGACTCAAATATCTGAATACCCGTTCGACTCCGACGTCAAACGCATGACCGTCATATTCAGGAACTACAGTGGTAATATCAACAACGGATACGCAGAGTGGGCCTTTATGAAGGGCGCAGTGGAGCGGGTTCTCGAAGCCTGTACCACTGTCCAGCTCGCCAACGAAATCATTCCTCTTGATTCTGAGATGCAGCAAAGGGTGCTTAGAAACATGGAAGCTCTGGCCTCGCAAGGTCTTCGTGTTCTCGCATTGGCACACAGGCCATGGAAGATTAAATCAGATGATATGGGCCAACTCCCGCGTCAGGATGTTGAGAGGGAAATGACACTCCTTGGACTTATCGGTCTCTATGACCCACCTCGTGTGGAGACTTCCGGTGCTGTTAAGCAATGTCATCGTGCTGGAATTAATGTTCATATGGTCACGGGAGACCACCCACAAACTGCTAGGGCTATTGCAATGCAAGTGGGAATCATTCCGGCGAATGTCCATCTATTGGCATCAGATGTCATATCAGCCATGGTTATGACTGCATCACATTTCGATAAGCTCTCAGACGCAGAAATCGACAGGCTTCCTGTTTTGCCGTTGGTTATTGCTCGCTGTGCGCCGCAGACAAAGGTCCGAATGGTTGACGCCTTACATAGAAGGAATAAGTTTGTTGCGATGACAGGTGATGGTGTCAATGATTCCCCTGCACTTAAACGTGCCGATGTTGGAATCGGCATGGGTATGGCTGGAAGCGATGTCGCAAAGGATGCTTCGGATATTGTTCTCACGGATGATAATTTTGCATCTATTCTCAACTCTATCGAGGAGGGTAGACGTATGTTCGACAACATCAAAAAGGTAAGACTGAAATTTCTATAATGTCATTCAAGAACCAGTGACTGACCTTGCTGTAGTTTGTCTTGCATCTTTTGGCAGAAAACATCGCTCAAGCATGTACTCTTCTTATCGGGCTTGCTTTCAAAGATAGCACTGGATTGTCGGTTTTTCCACTTGCTCCAGTCGAGATCTTGTGGATCATCATGATCACCAGTGGCTTTCCTGCCATGGGCCTAGGAATGGAGATAGCTTCGGATGATATCATGATCAGACCGCCCCACAATGTGTGTATCTACAGAATCCTTCCTAGTATAGTAGATACTAACAATCTCATAGCGTAAGGTCGGCATATTTACAAAGGAAGTGCTCATTGACATGTTGGTCTACGGTTGCTGGATGGCAGCGCTCTGTCTTGCATCTTTCTCGATCGTGGTTTTCGGTTTTGGTGACGGCAATCTCGGGCATAATTGCAACAATCATATTTCCGACGAATGCATGCTCGTATTTAGGGCTCGAAGCACCACTTTCACTTGTCTCACATGGTTTGCATTGTTCTTGGCATGGGAGATGGTCCACATGCGCCGCAGTTTCTTCCGCATGGAACCAAGGCCCGCCCATATCTGGTCCTTATGGGCTCGTCATGCCTGGCGTAATCCATTCCTTTTTTGGAGCATTATGGCGGGTTTCATCACAGTCTTCCCGATCATTTATGTCCCTTTCCTGAATACCGTGATCTTCAAGCATGCCCCAATCACCTGGGAATGGGGTATAATCTTTGTTGAGTCTTTCTTGTTTTTCATGGGTGTGGAAGCGTGGAAACTCTGCAAACGAGTTTATTTCAGAAGATATGGCGACAAAGTTAAAAATCCTGAAGATGAATTGGGACGTGAGATGTTCACAAGGGACAATAGCACATCCGTGAGTGATGTGGTCTAGAGGGCAATCCCAACGACTACCGACTAAGTTTCAACAACTGTCTATTTTTTACTTTCTCTTCTAAAAACAAGCAACAATTTCTTCAATTCTTATCAAATCGTTTTGTTCAATCTCCACTCGACCCGCACTGTATGTAGCTACGCACCTATGTCAAAATTTGTCGTAAACTATATATATATATTAGCAACAGCTGTACTTTATACTTAAGCACACATATACAAACGAACTGCAGTAGGCGCTTAAGTGAGCATCTCGAATATCGATCAGCTGACATAAAAACCTCAGAGACTTTGGATGATGACTAGTTATGAGTTTGTACATAGTTATTAACTAGTATAAGATCATATCTTCCTGTAAATTCGCCAAGGATGTGTTGCTTATTATTGTCCTAGCCAGATCCTAGTCGACTAATCATTATTACCACCCTTTCTAAATGATATAGTTTCCTTATGGGCCAGGAAAGCTTTCTAACGTTACAAGTGTTGGATGGAACATAATCACAAGGAATCACTCGTCATCAACTAATTGATTGATTACTTTATTAATTGTATTCGTCATCAACTAAGCTTTTACAGCGAGAGGTAGAATTATTGTAAAAACCGGGGTGTAAAAACAGGGTTTAAGTGGCTGACTCGGCCAATAGGACTCTTCCCATACTTCTACAACAATTTTACCACACGCTGTACAGATGCAGCTTACTTTTTCGAATTAGAACAGTCTATGTATGTAGCCCATTTTGACATGTCCCACTCGATCCTCAGCCAGGCCTATAAATTTGTTCCAACGACGAACGTTGGGATAGTGTAGCATATTCTAGTAGAAGCAGAAGAAATTAATTATAGCTGCCAACTAGGCCACGAGACTATTTGATCATAATAGATCCGACGAACATAGTTGAACAGTTCTTTCACATACATGTACTTGCTGCAGGAGTAAGTTTCCGCCACCACTTTTGTGTTGCAACCGCATTTTCACGTACAAATCTGGCGGAAACTTATTCCTAATTTTCACGCTAGGAAACCTACAAATCCCACATCATTGAGGTCAAGTAACCCTCACTCTCATGTGAGAAGGGAGGATTTCCATAGGCCGTTTCAAGGGACAAGGCCCGCTTCAAGCACTTTTCAAATATTCAAAGTCCATTGATAACAGGAGCTATGTTCTATTTTACAGTACAGGTAGCCTCCCGAAGATTTCTGACATTGTAGATCCCTATAATTACCACCTACTTATTGCTATACTCTGGAGGTGAGAATAAGACTGTCCAAAGTAAATCAACGAACGGCCGCGGCATATATACATGTATGTACCTGTCAATACCCGGGAGGTGAACGCGTGCGTACGTACACGTACGACAGTAAACTGTTACTTTGACCCTGTACCACGGGCTTGATGATTAGGGCCGAAAGATTAAATTTTGAGAAGATAATAGTTTCAAGTTTGATAATCCAATATTCCACGGTGGTAGCTATATGTAATTATTTGGGGGGAGGGGGGGGCTACGAAGTCATTTCTATTTTTTGCAGTATTTGTGGGACAGGATATCATTGGCCCCTACAAAGCCAGGAGTGATGACGTATGCCAAGAAAATAGACCTACATCTTCCATGTTCAATGTCTTAAGTAGAAAATGACGTGATGCAATTCTACATCCCAAGTATTTATATAGGTGGCTCCGGGGGTGTCTTGTACATACTCATCGAGAAAATTATACAAGTGTCTGATCTAGGGGTTTGGTTTTCATCTGTTATAATGGGTGAATTAGTAAGGGCTACTAGGTTAATCATAGGCGTCACATTATGGTTAGTACCAATTCCTACCAATAAGGCTTGTTATTGGAAGGAGCTTTAGTACTAAAATTCCACTAGTCTAAGTGCTGGGAGCACATCGCTCTTCTGCCTATTCTCACCTCTCCTTCAAGACAAACTTGGCTATTCACAACTTCAAGTAAACCTCATATCCCTTGCCAGCGAAGTCGGCACACACATCCCAGTCCCTTTCCTGATGTTCCTGTCACAATATACCGAAGGCTATGGCGGCCCTGGAGCTGTGTCGGTCTTATCCTCAATCTCATTTATATCTGGATATTTTCTCGCGGCCTACGTGTTTATAAACCGCCTGCATTTTACGCTCATGATGCTGGCGTTTTTCTTTGTTGGCACGGGATTTGTGGCATTGCAGATATCAGGCCTGACGACTATGGTGGGAAATATGCGGTCCGTGCAAAACGCCTTGGGACTGGCTGTATTGCTGTTTGGAATGAGCCCTGTCTGGCAGGTTCAGGTCGCTGCTAGGGTTTTTAGGAGGGATGAGGATCAACAGCTAACGACGGAAAGTTTACTTCTCGTGCTGGGTATATTTCTTGGCACTGTTTCCATGTTGGGAGGAGCTGGACTGCTGTCTTTACCGGAATGGAGGAGGACAAAGGGTGTAGGAGCTGGTGAGGAGGCGGAGGAAGGCCTATTGGACACAGAGGCGGTAGACGTAATTCAAAACGACGCTGTCAATTCTAATCATCAGCAGCAAGCATCATATGGATCAACTAACAGCAATGACGTTCGGGAAAATGAGCCCATGAAATTGACATGGATAAGTCCCAGCACTCGTGCCTTTCTCAACGACAGGAATGCCTGGTTATTTGCACTTGCAATCTTCCTCAGTACTGGCCCAGCGCAGACATTTACAAATAATGTAAGTGTCTATTATACCTTGATCCTTGAACTCTATGTATTTACTTCTTCATAGTTAGGAACACTATTACAAACAACGTATCGCACCAACTTGAGTACCAACTCCTTAAATGCCGCATATCAAGCCTCTATCTTGCATCTTAGCGCAACCATCACTCGCCTCGCTGCAGCGTATTTCAATGGTCATATCGCTATTCCCACACCTTCCAAGGAAGCAACACTTAAGAGGCCTCCTAGGTATAGGATACGCTCTAAGATTAGTGTTTTAGTGACTTGTTCACTCGTTATGACGGCTGGACTAGCCGTTCTTGCATCGGGCGTTGTTCAAGGAAATGGTCGATATTTTTACATAGTGAGTGTATGTCTTGGCACTGGCCATGGGTATGTATTACTTCTGTCTTCATCACAACCAAACTAATCGCCGCGCCAAAGCGCCGTCTTCAATATACCCCCATCAATAACCTCCACAGTATGGGGTCCCAAAAGTTTCAACAGTAACTGGGCAGCCCTCAGTTTGACTATGCCATTGCTTGGTGTCAGTTCATACTCAATCTACATGGGCTGCCGGTACGACATCGTCGCGGATGAGCAAGAGGGATACGGCACATGCAATGGCGTAGACTGTTATGATGTGACGGTGATAATTATGGGGGCCAGTATGCTGTTAGCAATCTCTTTGTGGATAGTTGTTGGGCGAAATTGGAGGATGAGAGGGATCGTAACTTAGCTATTGATTCAGGCCTGAAGTGCGGATGAGATTTTGAGCCAATTTGAGGTATATATAAACTACTAGTGAGAGTGGCCTCCAGCCGCATATAAAATTAAACATCAGTTCGAGGAACTGCTGATATCTAAATTTATAAAGGAAAGTATATAAAGATCTAGAAAACTCACAGCTCTGTTGTGTGGTTTGAAATAAATATCAATTCCTCGCACGCAGTCGGACCACCTAGGCGGCATGCTAGGCCCCTCCTTGCTCGTTCTATTGATGGAAAATATGAAGATTTATAACATTAATGGTCAGAGGGGCTATTATATATCATGACAGAACTCGTGGTTTGATGATTTGGAAAAACATGCCTATCGTCTCCCTTAATGCACTCCGCCTCCGAGCTACACACAATTAATAAATTATCAATCAATCAATCCCTTAATGCACTCGAACCCGGACCCTAGTGGAATCAGTTCTTTGTCTATCGACAGCTGTAGCCCATCGGACTATCCCTTTGTCTGTCGATTGCTGCCCCCCTATAATAGAGAAATTAAATTTGTATGGGAGATCTGTTAGTAAAGCCACACTAGATTTGCTTTTTCTTGAGTGGGCAGCATTTTGTCGACAGGCGAAGGGATAGAGATGGGGGGTCACTACATGTAACCAGCCAATAGAAACCTTTCGTGATGACAGAGATACCTAACTACTCTATTTAGGCAAGATGAAAAACGCTTATGGTTATAAATTGATAGTTTGATAAATAACTGAAATGCTTATAAGTCTTGGGATTGAGCGCATAAAGTAGTTGTGTTCTGCCCATAACTTATGTAACGATGGCGAGGAGAGAAGAAAGAGGACACATACAAGTGCAAAATGCCGAGAGAGGTAACGGAGCTGCTATTGATTATGCATATAGCGCAACCATCTGTCATTAATGCTGATCTGATCCAGATACAGCCGTAGTAGTACATGTATATAAGGCTTAATAATAATAATAAGATAACCCGGTAACCTCTCCAATGCCAAGGACACCAGATACTGTCTAGGCACAAGGAAATGGGGACTCTTTGAGATTGGTATCTGTCTTTAATAATTAATGCTTAGCACGCAATGCTCTAGCCTGGTTTTGTTTAGCATATTTGAATCCTTATAACGTTGTGTGTGATAGAGACGAGTGATATCCCATGATCTTGGTATTCAATAGAGTTTTGCGCTTTCCTGGATGATCTAATATTTCAACGACGACTTCCCTAGCCACTTGGATAGTCGGTGATGATTGGTGGAGAGGAGATACAGAAGCCGGTTATAAGGTTGATCTTCTAAATTAACTGTCCGAGTAAGGAGGGTGTCCGAATGGCCAGGGAAGCCGTCTAACCTTAGCTCAAATCGAGTTTGAGTATCAACCAGCCGCAACCATTACACAACATATAAATTTTATATGATAAAAATGGTAAAAAATTAACTACCTACCCCCATCCCTTTCATCGTCCTCATCAAATTCAAATCATAGCTCTCGGATATTCAGGCTCCTCTCCCTGCAAGATACAAATTGCATGAATAACAAACTACAGAAATAAAATAAAAAGCATTAAAGCATGAAGGAATAAATCATCCATCCACGATAGGTTTACATTTAAACCCCAAGAAAACGACTCAAATAATTAATGAAATTAAAGGTACTTAACCCCCCACTAATAACTCATGAATTAGTACTATAGGCGTGATCAATCTCCTTTTTGTACTTTTCAAGAATCCCTCTGCGGTTCAGTTTCTGGGCACTAGTGACCAATTGCTATCCATTCATAACTATATTAACGATATGCCCTTATGATTTCCAGGAAGTGGAAAGACTTACGTTCTGTGGGGTCCATTCCTCATCGGACATAACAACACCTTGAATCAACTCGGCACCTGCAAGACCTCCCTTCCTACCCGATGCGATGAGCTCCTTAAGCACGATGCTGTTTAGTTTGGGGTTGTGAACGAGGGTTTCAAGATCTCCCTCGATGCCATTATCGCCTGCAATCTTCTTAAGAGTGGCTTCGACTGGAACGATGATCGCAACGGGCTTTGTCTTCGTTACATCCGCATAAACGCAGATATTAGCTACAACCGCGGAGGCACGGTAAAGGGACTCAAGCTAAAAATAAGATCAGAATTTTGCCACAAAGTTCACGCTTGTCAGTGGCTTGATTACCTTTTCCAAAGCAATATATTCGCCGTTGATGGTCTTGACTAAGTTCTTCTTACGGTCAATGATCTTCAAGTGACCATTTGCATCCCATTCACCAATATCTCCAGTCTTGAACCACCCATCTTCATAGGCTGCCTGTGTCTCCTCTTCATTCTTGAAGTAGTGGGAAGCAACTGCATCTCCACGAATCCAAATCTCACCCTGTTCGGGTTTGTTTGCAGTGAAATATCCGGCGTCTGCAAAATCGACAAGCTTTATCTCAATGCTCGCAGGCACAGTCCCAAGACTTTTGGTGTTCCATTCGCAAGGATCCATGAGGGCACCCATGCTATATAATATGATGACAGTCAGAAAACTGAGAGAAGAGTAGTTCCTGGAAAGGGGAACTTACGCAGAGGTTTCGGTCAACCCATAGCCAATGATCATAGGAGCAATGGTCATACTGATGAAGTGTTGAGTCTCTGGAGCGATAGGTCCTCCTCCGCTCATAGTTACCCTCAATCTTCCACCAGTCGCCTCTCTAATCTTTTTAAAGATAAGTGAGTCCAACACGCCTGCTCCGGGAATTCCGGATTGTAGCATGAAATTTTTGAGTGACATAGCTCCCCAGAAAAGCCTCTGGCTCAGAGGTGGCAGAAGTGACACCTTGTCAACAATACCTTTCTTGACTGTTTCCCATACAGCAGGAACTCCAACGAGGATAGTGGGGCGGAATTCGGTAATATCACCCTTACAATTACGCATGGATCTATCGGAAAGAGTTTTAGGACTTCCGTAACCCATTGTTCCTCCCCAGAAAAGACAGGCATTTTCAAAAACATATTCGAGAATATGAGCTAAGGGAAGGAAGGTGAGCAGGAAATCGCCGGGGCCGATATAAGGACCAACTATCACCGTTACACCAGTAACTAGAAAAAAGTTTCAACATTAACCCTGCGTGAACTGTGATAGTTTCTCGGATTGATAAGTACTGTACCTGCAGCGATGACATTCTTGTGGAGAAGTGGTACACCCTTGGGAGTACCGGTAGATCCAGACGTGTACATGATACCACAGAGATCTTCTGGTCCAGCAGGGTTTGGCTCGACGGGATTTTCTTCTCCAAGCTTGCAAAGCTCATCAAAGCTTAGAATTCTAAGCTTCTCGAACTTAGATTTCAACGCGTCAATATGATCCTGTTCGACGACGCCTTCGCTGTTGTAAATAACGTAACGAATTTCCGTCGCCTCCTTTAGCGGATTCATAAGCTGAGGCAAGAGGTGAGGGTCAAGAAATATGGCTTTTGACTCGGTTTGTACAAGCGAGTGGGTGAGTCCAGATTGGCCAAGGGTATCATATGCAGTGACAATTGGCATCGACTGGGAAGCGGCACCTATATTTACATCTCAGCAAGATTATTAAATAAAGTTTAAAAAGAAAACACTAACCGTGTGAAATCCCAAGCCAGTTTATGCTATATTCCAGTAAGCGTAAATTTCCCCGAAAGAGCGATGAATTCAATGTCACCCTACCTAGTAGCAGCGAAAATTTGAACACGATCTTCCTTTTCAAGGCCAAGAGCCCTGAGTCCAGAACCAATTGTGTTCACACGAGCCAAATACTGGTTGAACGAGATGTACGAGTACTCGCTCATTTCGTAATAAAGCCATTTTTTCGGAACTTCTTGTTCAACCCCATCGACCATTTTCTTGACCATTTTCTGCTCCTCATGAAGTTTGATGAGCTTTCGGGTGCCGAGGGCCTGTGCATCTCCAAACTTCGCGGCTCCACGCTTGACGATGTCGTAAGTGGTCCTAATGTCCTCTTCCATTCGGCTTCTTAAACCGTTGATGGAACCAGGATGACGACGAGGAATGCCCTCGCCTTCCTTTGGAGTAACATTGGGGACTTGGACGTTGAAGGGAGGTTTTTTGGAGATGCACGGTTGCAAGACCTGTTTCTTTTGGCTGGCCATGACGACAACACCTATGACGCGTGAAGCAAAAGTATAGTATTGGTAGTTAAAGACGGAGGTAGGAAGTAGTCTTCGTCAAAAAAGGGACAAAACTACTTGAATGACTTCAATTACTGCGAGTGAGTGAGTAAGAGATGAGGTCGTGGATACAGGAAGGTCTCTTGGTTTACGGTGGGGATGCTGATGCTTTATGTAAGTGAAGGGGGTTGGCAGCACTTAGGCGAGACTGCACCAGTACTAAAAGCAAGAGTGCATTGCTTGTGGCAACTGGCCACGCATACAGCGAGCGACCTTCGGCTTCCTAGACGTCGCTCGTTCAAACAGCGTGATTGGTGCCCTTTGACCGTATCCCAGTAGAAACGGAGAACGCCAGCCTACTTCGGTATCAGATGTTACTAGCCCTGGCTGGTATTACCAGTCAAGTAGGTACGTGTAGGTAGATACATCATAGAAGACTGCAGATGTCCAGTAGGTAGAAATGTAATTTCCTTTGCTTTGCACTGGTTGCGTAAAATTACACTGTTTCCTTTGTCGAGATCATGTTTCTCGGCAGTCGCACGAAGGCTCACTTCGCGGAGTCACGATACCCACACACTCAGCTACAAGTCATAATTAAAGTGAGGATATCAAGTTCGTTCGTTCCCAACACTTTTCGGGGCGTAATAATCAGTAACTCTAGTACGAACCTAGGTAGCACAGCCTGGCACCTGAACCTCGGAACCTGTGAATCTTAGACCTTCATACATGTAGGTACATGTACTCGGAGCAGGTAAAAAGTACCGGACAATGCAAGTTTTGTCTCTGGGCTTTTTTGCAGTAGCTCACGCCTAGCACGCGCACCCATTGGTGAACCAAAAACCTGCATTGTCCGGTACTTTTTACCTGCCCCGAGTATGTCAATATTCCATTCCATGATTGAAAGCCCGTCTCTAGGAATCTCCCTGTGTGTGTGAATGCGGAGTAGCCAAGAAACCTAGCTTCTTGGTACGGATACTGCCGTCATACAGCCCCCTGCAGTTACTCGTATCAGTGGTATCATGGGGACTTTGTTTTTGAGAATACATGTATGTGCAGTTGGAATCGGTTTTTGTAGGCTTTCGGGGATTTTTGTAATATGATACAGATACCGATACACCCGTACCCGTTGCAAATAACTACATGTAGCTCAGTAGAACACAACAGACACGCGTGCACGGGTTGCTGGGCGAATCAATCAAACACAGTCTTTACAATCTTCAGAGAACCTGAGTACATGTAATTAGCTGCAATTATCACTTGCTAGAGAGCATATGTTATCGGTGTGTAATACAGGAAAAAGCAATTTGGGTGATAATTGTGAACATGCATACTAGCTCTGGGCCAGTTGATACTCTATGTTTTGGCACAGACGTTTTCAGAAAAGCCACAGACTCGGCAGCCATCTCGCGATCGTCGACTACCCATACGCTAAAGTAAAAACCCCACCATCCCTGGACAGGGTTCCCCAGAGTCTCCTTCGACACCCCACCAACTGAATTGAAAAGGCTGAGATTCCTCGCCCGCATGACTGTTGAATCATTCCTGTCGCTCCTCGGTGAAGAGGTTGTGGATGTCTATGAAGGTTGCCTCCCCAAATTCCCCTAACCCACTATCTGTTGGTTGAACTAATACTGGTGCTGACGTTCGAGGTCTCGGCGCCAGAGTCCATTCTCCTCTTTTCAACAGTTCCATCTTCAAGAAACCTTGGCTTTCTGGACAGCAGTGCTTCTTCGATATCTGTGACCGCTGCTGGCCAAGACCTGACAATTTATCAGTCCCCAACACTCTTATCTTCCACTCGTCAAGGAGGTACAACAGGTGCCGGTATGTTTGCGCGGGTTAGCCTTGGAATCAAAGCCTAGGACCCATAACCTACAAACCTTCGTTAACTTTGAATTTTACATCCAGGGCTGCTGACAATATTTTGCGTATAGTCCTATGGAAGGTCACCCCTATATTTGCGGAATGGATATGTGACAAACATAATATCCTCTTTACCCATGGAGTCCTTACGGCATCATCATCGGTTTTAGAACTCGGGGGTGGTTCAGCAGCCGTCCTTGCACTGACGCTGGGCACACGGGTTGGAAAATACTACCACAGTGACCAGGAATACGTTATGAAGCTTGCTCAAAAGAATTTGGATGAGAATTTACCAGAAACAATAAAGTCACCATCAAAGCGGCGGGGCAAAGTTACAAAGACAACTGGCCATATACCGAACATATCAGCAATTTCTTTAGACTGGGAGACTGATGATGTTCGATACCATCCAGCACTACAAGCTGGTACCTCATTTTCTGCTGTAATAGCCTGCGATACCATATATAACGAAGCTCTCATCAAGCCCTTTGTAGATACCTGCATAGATGCATGCTCTCTATCTCGAAGCAATACAGAATCGAATATATCCCCAGCAGTAACAATAGTCGCTCAAGAGCTCCGATCACCAGAAGTCTTCGAAAATTGGCTTGAAACATTTCAAAAAGCATTCCACACATACCGCATCCACGATGACCATCTAATCCCTTCTTTGAGGTCTACATCAGGATACAGTGTACATGTTGGAATACTTCGCTCTGGGTTGGAACGATCCTAAAGCTAAACATTTCTTTCCCATATTGCAGAGTACTTACCCTTACATATCCCTCTTTCTGGCATTCTTCCTAATCAGCGGCGATGCAGCGTAGCCCGCCGCAAAGTCTGCCATGTCGTCCTCTGAAAATACTGCTTCTGGATTCATGCTCATTCCAGAAACTAGGGATAAGTTTGGTAACGGCGAGCCACCAGCCGGTGTCAGAATTGGGGACACGGCTATCTTCGGTCGAGACTTAAAGACGGAATTATAGTCCGTTGATCGTAAGAGATCTTCTTTACGAGTTGGGGAAGCGAGTGGAGCTTTTATCGGTGTAGAAAAGTTATCTCTACGTGAATTTAAAAAAGATGACTGCTCGCTGTTCTCATACTGTGTGCTCTGCAGTTGACCGATGTTAAGTTTTAATCTACTTTCATCCATCTCAAACGTGTCATCCAAGGCTGGAGGCCTAAAAGCGTGCCGCTGCTGGTTTCTCTTGAGTGGAGATGGCTTCTCTGGCGAAAAGTTGGTTGCAGCCATAGTTGACACAATCTAATAAGTCCTTGTAAGTTTACATTATCAATTGATTGCCAAGCCCTATTTACCTGTTCTGCTAGAAGCTCATCGTCCCCAAACCCCTCGAATCCCAACGAATCCCGCATTCGTGGCTTGCTTTGTGGTGGTGGCAGTGGGGAAGCAGGGTCTACATGACTTGATTGTAGATTAGGAATGACTATTGACCCCTCGAACTCACTGAATCCCTCATTTTCGTCATCATTATCCTGATATAAGGCATCGCTAGGGGTTGTTGGCTGCGGCTCGTAGTCCTCAATTTGTTGGGAAACCTTTATCAAAGGATTATCCTGGTGGTCATAGGGCCTTTGTAGAGGTGATTCGGACATTTCAATATCTGATTCGTTTCCATATCGTGAATAATCGGAAATCAATAATTCACTTTCTGGTAATTCACTATCAGGCATTTCCTCATCCCCGTCCGTGTCCTTTCTTTCAAATCCCGGTACTTCCGTTTGAATTGCCGGCCTACTTGGCACTGGATGGAGCCGGTACTCCGGTGAAACAGTAGCTACTTCGCGTCTTGCAGGTATTCCGGCCGCCGTTAAGTCTTCACGCAAAGCGTCCATGAGTTCGGTATCTGGCAAGACATCAGTTGGCAGGCTCATTTATACTGGTCGCTTGTGATGAAACCATACATTCGTTCCTCTGACCATCCATATACCCATGGGCTATTTTTACTTGGCCACTGTGCAGGCTCTGTAATAGGTCAGTCATGGGATGCAGGCAGATGTAGGGTAATGTTATGCAACTCGTGATACCGACCTGATGTTGGTCAAAAACCACCTTCAAGCATGTCTTCTCGTTCGGAGCATCCGATCCAGCCTTCGCCTTACCAGGGAGGGTTGTAGAATCAAATCTTGGGGTTGCCCTCAGAGCCTCCTCTCTTATTTGACGTAGCTCTCTCAATCTATTCTTTTGCTCTTGGACTTGCTTCTCTAGTGCTAGAAGGCTAACGTCTCCATTTCTCACGCCGACCAGCCCGTTCTTGAAATGATGATGCTTGCTCAACGCCTTGTGAAATGGCAGCTCAAAAAATTGGTCTCTCATGTACTCTGGATCGCCTTTCAATAAAATTTCGAGCCATCTCTGATCACCAAGCCAATTATTCCTCCATTTGCGCAAAACCTCTTCTTCGTATCCCCTTGGGAGAATCGTTGGTTGATCTCTAGTAGTCAATTGCGACAGGGTTTCTGAAATTACCGAAATCTGTAACTCCTTGGAGTCTAGAAATGCGGCGAATGAAGACCATTGCGATTTTGACAAACGGCGTGAATGGAGAAGACGTGTCAGTGATGATTCATGTGCTAATATCAAGGCCTCCAGAGCTTTGGGTGAAGGGGAAAGCGAGGATGCTTGTTTATAGGCTGTGCTCATACTAATTAGCTCCAAAACACATGGGAACCGAGATAGCGATAGCAATGACTTGCGCTACTTCTTGCCGAACGCACCGAACGTTTTGCAAATTGCATTTTGGATATCCCCCTTCTCGAGTTGATTTCGTAGGACATATGTGGATAGTGCTAGTAGTAATTCCTCGTATCGATCCCCAGAGCAATCGTCCAACAGCGTCCGCCGAACTAGAACGTTTCCCCCTAATTGGCCATTCTTCTTGAGATCCGAGAGCCATTTAAAGACGGCGTTGCGCAATTCACGCGACTGGGCGGGTTCGAATATTGGCCAGCATGTATCCAACCTCTGGTATTGATCTGGAATCAGCATGATTTCCTTGTTTATTTTGGACCAAGCAGTAAGAGTGGAAGCCGCATACGATAGCACATTCCTCTGGGTCAAGGATGTGGAATAGGTGATAGGCAATGTGCTCGAAGGCTTTACCCTTGTTTTTCAGCGAGGTGAATACGTCGGAAGTGATAGGGAAGGATTGCTCGGGGTCATTGTCATAATCCAGAAGCTGTAGATTTGTGAGGAGTAGCGAGACGGCAGTTGAAGGTGACTTCATTGGAGATTTGCACGATCACGACTTGCGGCAAGGTGCGGGATGACGGAGAATGGGGGGAGGTGGTGAGTTATTGTTGGATACTGCCGGTATATCTAGATGGATAGTTGGGGCTCAGCTGAGATATGAAATATATGAAGAGTGCAGGAATTGAGGATTACACACACTGAATTATCTCAAGCACTGATATTGGTGGCTGAAGAGATCTGGGGTAGGGGCTGGCTGTGGCTCTCGGCTCGCACATGGCATACCAGTTAACTGAATTGGGAGAACGTGCTCTAGAGGCCTGGTGTGAGACATTCTGTAAAACGACATGTAGTACACTGAAATACGCCATACTCTACTATGATGTAATGAAGGTAAGTACAAGTAAGTGCTTAAGCACTTCATATATTTTCTCTACTCTAGTCATAGACTGTTTTGTGTTGATTTATGTGCATACCTACATGTAGTCTAGGAATAATAGTATTGGGGATATTCTGCTCTAAGTACTTAACATGGTGAGTAGATTTCTGCTTGTAGGGACGAGTCTATTTAGGTAGTGGTTCAAATACATGTACTTCTTTACAGGTACTGATGTAAGATCCTAGGGCCCAGAAGGCCACTCTATAGATCTCGAGTACATGCATTAGCATGTGTCGTTGAAATTTACTTTGTTGAGTCGCTTCATAGTCTGTGCTGCAGGTCACCTCACAAGTTTGTAGTGCATGTAGGTACTCCATCGAAAGGCCCCTGTCTAGATGCTCCCGGGAACAAGTATGCTTTGCCTATCGCGGCAGCTCTTTTATATGTAGTATACTTCATCCTTCTACTTTAAATGCTTACATCTCTTTCTTATAGGTCTCTCTCTCCCGCTCCTCTTCATCGTTTTCTTCCATCGGTTCATCAATTCATACCCACTACGTTAATTCTCGTCGCCTCGAATTCTGCCCCAGCAAGAATTAAAATACCCATTCCGATTAACCATGTCAGAGACTTCACGTGAGTGCCTCCCCGCAATAGACAATGAAGATCTCGGGAGCCCCTCTAACTGACTGTTAGCAAATACCAACTCAAACCCTTTCATTAAAACCTGGTCTCTCGATGCCGGTATGATTCCAGAACAACCTTGGAAAACAGATAGTCAGACCTAATTCCGCTGACACTAATTGATCGCCCTTTGCAGTCTTAAAGTCCATTCCTTTGCCTGAGATCTCGGCCTCAAGCTCTCCGTTGGCCTTCCTGCATATCATTGAGCGACTCAAGACAACCCCCAGAGAAGGCTGGAAGAGGTTTGATATCATTAACGGAGGTCTTTCTCCAATTCCCTACTATCTCTGTAACCGGGCATGATTTTGACCTTCTTGGGAAAATGCAGAATCCATTGCAGACCACATGTACCGGATGTCAATCATCACTATGCTTTGCCCACCCGAGGAAAATATCAATAAAGATCGCTGTGTCAAGTTGGCACTTATTCACGACATGGCTGAAGCCTTGGTTGGTGATCTTACACCACCCGATAACGTTCCCAAAGGTATGACATCCCGAAGTGGGTGACAAGCCTTTTCAAGCATATTAACTGGTTACACGCAGAGGAAAAATACAGGAGGGAGCTCGAGACCATGAATTACATCTGTGAACAGCTCCTGAAGCCAATGTCTCCAACAATTGCCGAAGAGTTCATGGGCTTGTGGACAGAGTACGAAACTGGTGAAACTAAAGAGGCTATCTTTGTCAAAGATGGTGCGTCCCCTTGATTCTTCTACAGTTAGTATATATACCATGATGTTGGGTTCTGACCGTAAACTATCAGTTGATCGATTTGAGCTTGTTTGCCAATGCATCGAATACGAGAAGAAATACAATGCAAAGAAGGACCTGAAAGAATTCCTCCATGTCAGAAGGGGCATCAAGAACGAGTTCGTCAAGAAGTGGGCCGAAGACGCTCTGAAGGAAAGGGAGGCCTTCTGGGCGGCCGCTGGGCTTGAGAGCGTAGTTGACAATTAGAGCAGATGGAGATTTTTCCTTTCTTTTTTCCTTTCCTTTCTTTTTTTTTTTTTTTTTTTACTTATTTCCGATACCTTAGATGGAATTGGTGAATCTACAATATTTGCTGGAGCCTTTTCTCTCTTATTTGCGTACATACCTTTTGCATGCATGGCGCTTGGGAGTAGGTAGAGTTTTATTTTTATGATTGCATACCTAGCTTAGGTCCGTTAGAAGAGTTTGAAGCGAAGGTGAAGCATGCAGATCTCGCACATATTAAAAACGGAAGATTTTTATTTTTAATTTTTTCCCCGCCTGATCCGGTGGTTCGAGATCTCCCGGAACGTGATATCTGACATCTGATATTGTTGCCAAGCTCAGAGGCGAGACAAGAGGCTCTGCATGGGGGTCGCAGAAGAGAATTGCTGACCAGTGACGGATTGATTGAGTGTTTTTTCTTTTCTTTTTCCGTTTCTCCCGGTAGCCTGGAATGTACCCAGGTGTTGAGCTCCCCGATTCTTGTTTCGTCGAAAAGAAACAAACACCCGCAATTGGGTCGCTGCCGTTCGTTCTGCGATCCAATTCCTTCCGCAGAGCTACTCCTTCTGTGTTTACCAGTCACAGCAGCACCAGCCAGCAGTAACCTACGTATCAGTATCTCAGTCTCGAGAAAACCGAAAAAGCTTCCCTATCGATATCCCCCTCCTTCCCCCCCATCAATGTCCGGAAGAAAAGAGAACCAATCCAGCTACATCAATTTCTCCACCGGCCACGACGACCTCGTGCACGATGTCGCATACGGTACATACATCCCTTGCTCCCTGCTTGCTATCTAGATCTCGCCGCTCCCTACAGCTTCTTCTTTTCTCTAATATTCCAATTCACTAATCCGATGCTTTTACTCACGCTGGCGCGCGGGGGCTCACAGACTTCTACGGCCGGCGCATGGCCACAGTTTCGTCCGATCAGCGACTCAAGGTGTTTGATCTGAACGACGAGGGCGAATGGGTCATCAGTGAATCCTTCCGGGCTCACGATGCCATTATCAATAGGGTGTGTGAGGAAAAGAATGAGAGAGAGAGAAAAAAGCGGGGTCAGTTCGTTTTTCACGTCGGTGCCGTCGCTGATTCGTCCAGGTGATCTGGGGCCCGCCAGAGCACGGTCAGATCATCGCTACCTGCTCCTATGACCGCCTAGTTAGGATATGGGAGGAGCAGGAAATGGGTAAATTCTAGAAACTACCCCCCCCCCCCCCTTTCCTTACCTACATGTACCTACCCAGCCCCTCCCCCTCCCCCACCTACCTATCTATGTACCTACACGTACGCACCTACCCACTTCCCGCATCTATTCATCCGCACGCGTCTCATGATTGGGAAGGTAGAAATGCCATGCAGCTAGCTAATCAGATCCGCCTCCCCTCCAGAGCCAAAAGGCTCCAACCTCCGTTGGAAGCGCCAATTCGAAATGCGAGCCGAAACGCACTCCGCCGTCTATGACATCTCCTTCCCGCCCACCTCCGCCTACTCCGTCTCAGGCACCTCCACAGGCCTCAAGATCGGCTTCATCTCCACCGACGGCGTCATCCAGATCTACGAATGCCGCGAGCCCCAGGACCTCACGCACTGGATCGCCGTCGACGTCTTCCACACGCTCACCGCGCCGCCCGCAAAGGAAAACGAGGTCGCCTTCTGCCTCGACTTCTGCCCCTCCCGATGGGGCGGCGAGCAGCTCGTCGTCGGCATAATGGACAAGGCGCAGGTCTACCGCCAGAGCAAGGTCGGGAAGTTCCGCCCCGCGGAGGAGCTGAAGGGACATCGCGGACTGGTGCGCGATGTCAGCTGGGCGGCAGGCATGGGCAGGAGCTACCACCTCATTGCTACGGCGTGCAAGGACGGGCATGTCCGCATCTTCAAGCTGACGACTAACGCGGGGAGCCTTGCGGCACCAAAGAGTAGGTATCCCACTGGTGGTGGGCGGCGGCCGAGGCCCACAGGTGCGAGCGCGGGGCTGGGCGCGGGGTTGGCGGGAAGTGCCGATGATATGGTTTCTGCGGCGGAGGGCGACGATGCGGCCGGGGGCGCGGAGGACGAGCGCTGGCTTGTCGATTTGATCGGCGACTTTGACGACCACCATAGCGATGTGTGGAGGGTTGCGTGGAACGCCACGGGCACCGTGTTGAGTAGTGCGGGCGACGACGGGAATATCAGGCTGTGGAAGGCAGCCATTTCGGGCGAGTTTCAGTGCTTGTCGGTGATTGCGTCGCATCGGTCTGGGTAAGCTACTTTTCTCCCCCTTTTTTTGTTATGGAGTCTGGGATGATATACTGATTTGCTTTGGTTGTTGCGGTTATAGCAGTAGATGGGAGGAGCAGGAAGTGACGTTTGATGACTAGACCACGACGGCGTTTTATCACTTTTTTCTGTAGTCTTTTATTCGTATTTTTATCGGCTTTTTTTATGAGTGAAACGAGAACTCGAGCAATTCTTCTCTTATCCTCTTTCTCTTCTCTTAATCATTAGTCCTCTAGATCAGAGAGCAGCTGTACCAGTATTCAAATCTTCGTTCCACCTGAGTCACAGGTTCTCACTCGCTCCCTCTTCCTGCTTACAGGGATTCGATGTGCATGCATGGCCTCGGGCCTCGGAGCTGTCGGAAATGCACCTCAAGACCGTAAACAGGAAATACAGTGCTCCGCGGTGCAGCATCTGCTGGTAGTTTTTTAGCGTTTCCGGACGCAACTGCTATTGCATACACAGAAAAAACTCGCCAAGGCTATCTTTTGTATGGCATGCAATAGCAGTTGCGTCCGGAAACGCGAAAAACTATGGGTGGCGTTTGTTGTTCTTGTCCTCGGTTCTCGGCCTTGGGGGTCGGGGGTTGGGGGAGGAGGGAATCATGTGCTATCACTCGAGCGGTCACGGGGCTGCTGGTGCAGCTGCAGGCCGTATGTGTGCAGGGGATGCAGTGGGACGGGTGGTGTTGAGGTCTTTGCCAGTCGTTATCGTGAATGTTATACCAGCACCGGGTGCGCCATTCTAAGGCCAAAGCCCGTGTCTAGACTTGTCTGCTGTCTGCCGCTGCGGTATGTGCCGCGCTCGCCCTCTCGAAAAACGTATAGAGAGCACGTCTCGATGGTGATATGGAGATGCGCGCGCCCGGGAACCTAGCAGAGCGTGATCCTGTAGGTTCTGGAGGTGTATGGCTGCAATAGGGTTGGGTTACTATACTATACCCCCCTCCATCTACGTGCATACTCGCGGTTGCGGGTTGTGGGCGGGCTTGGGACAGATGCGCGTAGAGTACTGCACCTCTGGCAAAGGCCGGGAGAGCGGGAGCGGGTGTGTACATACATAGTGCAGGCAGCAGCATGCAGCGTATAAGAGGGTCTTGTGGGCTCGCGGGCTGTGGGGGTAGAGATATAAAGACCGTTTCACTTTCCTTTGTCTGTTCGGGTGAGGGCTGCAGGTGTGTTGACACCGGGCTGTGGGGTCATGGTGATCAGGAAATCACTTAGCGGGTAGTTGATAGGAAGCTGGCAGTGTGGTCGTTGTGGCCGGGCGAAGAGTGAAGGGGGTGGAAGAACCAATGATTGTTGTAGCAGGTAATAGACGGAAGTAGGAAGACCAATAGATATAAACCAATCTATTACCCTGGGCTCTTTCTGGGAACTGTAGTCCAGAGGTATATGGGCCGGCCCAGCATAGGTCTTGTAGACCCGGCTGAGAAGTTCCTAGCCTTGAGTCAGATATAAAAAGACATATCGATTGAACCGGAGTCTATATATATAGATATATAGACAAGCCTCGGCATGAGCGCCCAAGAACTCGAGCGGGATGGAAAAGAAGTCATAAGCCCTAGGTTCCATGAATAGTGGAGCAGAGATACACGTAATACGGGGCCCGGGACGGGGGAGCACGCACGGCAACAAAATACAACCTTTTTACTCCTATTTACACAGTATACAAGAGGTTTGTTATTGTCATGCCAGGGTTAGGTGTCCCCCTATGTAGCTAGGTCACTTTACCCTCGCCCCCTTGAGTACTACATGTACTTCCAGGCCGCTGAACATTGTGTGGGCGAGTGTGGTCCAGGAGTAGACGCCTCGTCATGGGTTCAATTACACACCGGGGGTGGGGGTGTAGCTGTGTTATATATAATATATATATACTGGGCCTGATCCCCGTGAAACGTATATATATACCTTAGTATGACTTTTTGTAAACTTATAGCCGTTTTTTCTGGAGCTTATTGGGCCCTCCTCGTGGGTTAGATGTGATACCTCCCCCCCCCCCCCCCGCGTTGGCTCGTCGTTAGACTCCATCCAGTCGATCCCAGACCGTTTCAGAACGGTGATGTGTAGACGCAACACAATACCAGCTAGTCGTGGCATTCTCGCCATGAAGACAAATCCCCTGCAGCAGTGAGATGGGAATAATTATATAAATCCCACATTCCGGGCGACCGAACCTCTCCACTGAAAGTAATTGACGGCTCGAGAAACACCCCAGGCGATCAGCGTATTGCTTTGCGGACACACCCCGGGTTACGGCGCCGATCTGGGATATTCAATTCCCCCCTCACCAGCACCGGACGGGCGTACCTCCTAGGTACCGGGCGGGTCAGAAATAGGGTAATTGTAACTTATATACATGTAATTATATAGACAGGTGGAGTCGGTCATTCCCCCCGCCCCGATTCCGTTCCCAACATCACGTACTAACAGAAACACTCCAGGCCACAAAGAAGGTTATACAATCCGCTCTCAAAGTGCCGTCAGGCGTTCTGGGGTCTATATATTTCGCTTCCACTGGTTGGGGGAACAGATACGTACGCTCTAGCTAGCTGTAGTTTGCGGGAGACATAAATCTACCACCACCAGCAAGCAGCAGCACAATGAGTTCAGATGCTAACTTGAACTGGACTCTGGAATGTGCTTATCTCATCTACTGCACTGTCAAAGGCACATACATACATGTATATAACAGCCCGGGGGCTAGTGTGCACAGCAAGAGTTTGGGGGGGGGGGAGTACATGAAGTTACACGGAGACCGAGTGATTTAGCATGACTCCAATCTGCGCAACCGCATCCACGTGCACCGATTGACAGAAGATGGCCCCTCTCGGCCCCCTCACGACCGTGGGTTGAGTTATCAATGAGGGAGCCAGATATGCCTAGGTTTTAGGAACACTCGTGGTGGGATTGATATTGCTTGGTCACATGATGAGCTATATTTTCAATGCCATACATGTTTTTCTTGATGAGTTTATTCTGGTACAGATAGATACATAGCCCACAATTCGGTTTGTGCGCCTGGGGGGGGGGGGGGGGGTTATTTATCAATTATAAGTCTTTCCCTATTTCTGGCATTGTAGGCTATAAATCTTTCGCAAGGGGAGGAAGGCACCCTACCACCCACCATTCAACATTCAAAAGAAAAAAGAAAAGAAAAGAAAAAGAGTCCACAACCATGGATGGAATAAATAAGTAGATAAAACAAAACAAAAGAGACACCAATCAAGACCAGATGTATTAAAAAAAGCCAGCCGGCTGTATAACTCAAATGCAAAACAAGAAACACGGATGCTCAAAGAAATGCAAACCGTCAACCCAAAGAACCGCCAAAGAAACCTCAAGCACAAATATGTAGTAGTAAGTAACACAGCCACAGATAAGTTAGTATCTTTCTTGTCCTTGGTATGCCAACTTAGCGGAGTAGCATTCCTAAAGAACAGCCAGCACATTAGACAAATGTAAGAACCTGGCAAAGGAGGAGCACAAAATCGCAAAAGATACCCTCCAAATCAGATGACCCTGAAGGAAAGGTGGGTGTAGGCAGTATACAGATATAAATGCAGCGAAGGAGAACTTAGGGCAAGATATAAGATCCAACTTTAAACACTGAAGAACATGCATGATAAAACGGTAGAATAGAAAGAAAAAAAATTGGAAAAAAAAAGGTTAAGGTGGTAAAAACTCCACCACCTGCCATGGCCGCCACCCTGCCCAGGACGCCAAGACAAGGAACTCTTTTCGAGCCTTTTTTTTTAAAAAAAACCGCTGTACGAAAAAAATCCCTAATATATTCTTTTTTTTTCGACAAGAAAAATTTAGGGGAACCAGAAACAAATTTGAAAAGTATGGGAACCTCTTAAAAAACTATGTGAACAACTCTTCTTGCAAGTCGCTAACATGTTTGTGCAGCTCCTTCGCGATAGTTGTTGATTTACACTAGTCATAAAATCCATTAGCTATGCATTCACAATGCGTATGTAAATCAACAGTGAATACCTTAATAATCATCTGTATCGGAGTTCCGCTTTCCAGGGTCATGAAGTACAATTGGTTCGATGTTGGCACGCTGCCACTTGAATCGCCGCCTATTTTCATGCCTTTGTAGATTGGTACGTTCAAAACGACCAGATATGTCCCTTCCGTCCTCATGATCAATCTCGCACTATCTTTAAACTTCTCTCCAGCGCCTGCTTCTTCATCATCATCTCCAGAGAAAGGAACGGTTCTATTGAGCTTGAGAGTCCCACGGCCGCGCTCCTTCCACTGTTTGTTTTCTTTATCGAAGAAGAAAATTTTGCCAAGGGTCTTAAAGATGGTCATCTCATTCTCCTCACCAGTTACAACTACAGCCAAAGGTCAGCATAAAAAACAAAAGCAAAGTAAGTAACCATGAAGTCTCAGGAATAGACTAAATACAGGGAAGATAATGATAGCATACCCTCTTGCTCTGTGAAGATTTCTGCCTTTTCATCAGTTGTGGGCTCTTCTTTCTTTTCTTCGGCATCCCCATCACTTCCCTCATCGTCTTCGTCGCTTGTGTTTTTGTCATCTTCATCAGGTGCTCCGAACGGCTTCGCTGAGATGCCACCAAGCGGCTTCGTTAATTTGGGTGCCGACGAAATAACATCACCCGATTTCGAGGCAAGGGCTGCAAAACCAGAGGGGCCGTATCCACTGCTGAACCCAATACCAAATCCAGAGGGCTTGGCCTTGCTGCCACAATTTAATCCGCCAGCTCCAAAAGGACTCGCTGACCCAGATGATTGTGCATTTATAGAACCAAATGGGGATGGAGAAAACGAACTTGTCGATGCAAATGGAGACGCTGATGCGAATGGAGACGTTGTTGACGAAGATGCGGCGCCGAATTTCGAATTCTTGAATAGATCGGAAGCGCTGGTACCTGGTCCGAAAAGTGGCTTGGCGCCAGAACCTGCAGTGGCAAAGGGAGACTTTGCGGAGGTGTTTGCAAATCCGCTGTTTGTGGGGAGCTGCTATAGTCAATCAGCATCCTGCAGAGAATTTGTGCCAGAGAATTTCATCTAGCATTATGAGTGTCGAATGTTTACCTCTCCCTCTGAAGACTTCACAGTGGCTGCTTCAACAGTGACAAGGTCTCCGCCGTTGGCCATCCCAGAGGTAGAAACATTAACACTTGTGGTTCCCCTGTTCGTAGATGGCATGCTCTTCTCGACTACTCTGTTCCATTCCTCCTCTTTCCTAGAAATTTTCTTTTTGGGGTCCACTTCCTTATCCTTTTCATCCTCATCGAGCCTGCCTCTGCCCCTCTTTCTCTCCAGTTTTCGGGGGCTGGTGATCGATGTGCTTGCCTCCTCTTCACCCTGTGACATGATTTCGTCTTCTTCAGGATGTGTTGGTGGAGTCTTTACTCTGTTGAGAGCTTTAGCAGCCTTGGCCATATCTTCGTCTGAAATTTCCCTACTCCTTTTCCGTTCGTGAACCCTGTGCCGAGGGCGCTGATCCTTGCCACCACCATCCCCATCCCCGTCGCCCTCGGTCTCGTCGAAACTTCTCTTCCTCCGCCGTCGAGTATCGTCTTCTTTTCCATCGCTCATGTCTTGATCTGCTTCTGAGACGGCATTGCTCAGCGCATCGTCCTTCTCGCCGTGTTCGCCAGCAAGGGAGGAGTCGGATCGAACATTCGCGATAGATGTCTTTTTGAGTTTTTCCCGAACACGTTCATTGTCCTGCTCGCTAGTAGTGGATTTTGAATCATCTTCCTCGTCTTGTGGAGAATCAGCCGGTTTAATCGCATTTTCCATATCTGTCCCGTTGATATTATGAGCCCCGTTTCCGTTGTTGCTGCTATGGGGATCTGAGTGCTGTGGTGGGGATATAGGGGGAAGAGGCTCTGCGTCCAACGCGTCGGTTGTCACCCCGCCCTTCGTCATTGCTGAAGTGTTTCGGCGATAAGGTTTTTTTTCCTTGTGTTTCCGTTCAAGCAGCCAGTAGCTGCGAGTTACTGCCAGGAAAGGTGATTATCAAAATTGATAAATGAATCAGAGAAAATTGAATTTCCTTGAATAAGTATTGCTTGAGTCTGGCTTATATTTCTTTGTGTGGTCTTTCTTCCACTTCCTATGCCCTTCTTTTGTTAGAAGGAAGGTAAGGAGAGTAGACGAGGGACGAATGAAGGAGAAGTAGAAACAGATAGCGGGTCGGAGGAGTGGAATAGAATTCCGGACGGGCGTCGCGCTTGGGTCAGGTGAGGGTTGAAGGGCGCGTGAGCGTGAATGGGCGTAAGGGTAAAGCACGAGGGAAAGAGGGGTGGGATGGGTTGAGTTACGTTAGGTTGGGCAGTGGCTACTAATATGAGGGGGGATGGTGGAAGATTGGGTATGGAAAGCGACGAAGATAAGTGTCTCGTTTCGCGTGGGATGCGACCAGCAGCAGTAACTAACGGAGGATAATACCTAGAGGATGTAGGAGAGGCTTGCAAAGCTGCGAGAGGCCGGATTAACGGTGTCGATATATTGTTTCTAAACGAGAACCTGTCGGAGACGAGACGGATAATGAGAAGGAGAGTGGTATGAATAGGAGAAAATGTATGTAGAGTGTGTAAGTAAGCAGGTATGGGGGGTTATCTGTTTGATTTCGGAAAGAGAAGTAGCAGGTTACTGTGCTGTGTTAATTTGAATGGCACAGAAAGCAGTCTGAGCCAGACAAAAACACAGAACGCAAGGCGAAAGCTGGCAAACGAGGTAAAAGCCGAAGAAAGGAATTAAAGGAAAAGCAAAACAAGAAAAGGAACTAAACACAACACAAAGGTGCAACAGAATTCCAAACCGAGGTAGCTGATTGGATTTGTTTGGTTCAGTGTTTTCCTGAGCCGGCTTGGGGTTCGACTTGATTGACTAACTGCAGAGGCTGGACCGTCGAAGCGACGACTGCAGAGTAACTGGGTGTAGGTGATGGATGGTGTGCCCTTAAGCTCCTGCTAGGCAATGCAGAGGTCCTTGCTTGCGGCTGCTGGGTTGGATGTGTGGTGGGGTACTTACAGGCAATGAAAGAAGAAAGCGGAAGTCCCCAGTCACTGATGTCCGTGGTGACCCCCTTGGGATCATTCATGATTGTAAGGCTATCTCCTCAGTTATTACGCAGTTGTTTAATGCTAATTTCCGTGAGCAACAGCTGGGAATTTGACTCGTATTAGCTTCCTACTCCTGCAACTAGTACTTGAAGGTAAGTTTATTTGATACCCAAACTACATGTACATGTACATATCAGTTTTATAATTTACCATTCACCTATGCATTTGCACCCAGGTGTCAATCCATTCAATCAACTGGCAACATGTCACACTCGCTAGGGCTCGAATGACACCACGATAGAATTATGTAGAGTAGTTATCTATATACTGATGATACATGAGAATGCTCTGCAATAGCAGCTTGGGTTGGTCAGCACGTAACAGCATTGTGGGCAGTGTTCGCGGTTCAGTTGACTACATGTAGCTGCGGCTATAACTATCAGCAATAGCCAACAGATGCAATAGAAAAGAAAGCAAATATTTAATACGATATAGAGTATATGGTAGTGAATAAGGAATAATTAATCTGTCACCAAGATTACCTTTATATTTCACCTTTGCCTTTTGCCATTGCTATTAGAATAAGTTCAATTCAAGCCAGACCCATCCCAAATCCCTCATCCGCGGGCCAGTCGGCTGTAAATTACATGTAGTGAGTGTCTGGTATTCCAGTGAAAAACGCCTGCTTTTAAGAGCCCCGCACCCACAGCAATCGATCCATGCAAGATCGCAGTCTGGAAGAGATAGCACTGGGTGTACTACCACAATGAACTCCAATTAATCATCATGCCCCCTCAAAGTTTGCTTCTTTAGAAACAAGAAACTGCTCTGCCGTTGAAGTATGTATATAGCTCTATAGTTCAGCCTAATCATTTATTTTCTTAGTCTTGTGAGATGAACCAGTCCAAGCTTCCCTTCAAATCTACACCACTTAATCCCCGCCCTATCAATACGACCTTTCCGCCCACATGATCAAATACCTCTTGGTTAGGAGCATCAAATATCTCGAAAACCTCTCTGACTCCCTGGATCAGCTGTTGTTTTCCGTCTTTCATTGATATTCTCCCTTTCAATCTGTGTATATCGAGCAGCGATGGCTTTCCTTTCTCCTCGCAGGACTTATCACTTTGTAGTTCTGGTGAAAATGGAACTTCACCCTCCCAGAGGAGAGAACGTAACCACATCTCCAGGAGTTCCAATTGTCTCTGATTCAGCAATGGGATTTCAAGAGAAACCGTCGAGATAGTCTACTCACGAGATAAGCCACAATTTTCAAGGCTTAAACTGGAGAGAGAGGCATACGGGATCAAGCGTCGACTTAACACTTGTCTTCAAATTACCGACATCCTTATAAGCTTGTATGTCGAGCAACCATCCCTCTAACCTTTCCGCCTTGCCACGCTCTGTAACCACAATCTTTGCTAACCCGTTTATTCCAGTGACTCTACTCTTAACCTCTTCCAACTGTTCCGGCGTTACCAAGTCAGCTTTGTTTATAACAATAACATCGGCATGTGAAATCTGCAAGTGCGCTGTGGTTGTCTGTTCATCGCCCTCCTTCCGGTCTTCTCCTTCTAGCATGGTTGTATCGTCTAGTGAACGGAGGATATTTGCTGCGTCTACAAGTGTAACGATACCGTCTAGGAAAATGGAGGATCCAAGGCCATCATCGAGCCAGAAGAGCGGTGCAATGTTTCCTGGATCAGCTAAGCCCGTCGTTTCTAGGAGAATGTAGTCGAATTTCCCGCGACGCTCCATAAGATTTTCGATTGCGGCAACACCTATGTCTCTATATAAAAAAAGACTTGTCAAATCGAAGTTTTCCAAAGCACAAGTTAAACAGCTAATCTGACAAAACATACTTTACAGAACAACAGATGCCTGAGGAAAATTGTCAGTAAACCGGAAGATAAAGGGGCCGTTCGCTGCTCTGCTTACATCCATTCGCTAATTCTAACCATTCCTCAACTTGCTGGCCATCAGTTTGAATAGTCAATGATTTTTCAATATCCACAGCTGCTCGATAAAAAACGGAAATTATCTTCACTATTAACAAAGGAACTCGAATTGTAGTTTTTAGTAGCTTGAAGAAATACTTACAATCGCCGAATTCTGATATTAGTAGATGAAATTAGCCACGAAACCGTCTTACTGCTCATGCTCAATTAAGGAAACTGGGTGACAAGCCGTTAAGAATCACCGCAATCTTCTTTGAGTGCTGTTCCGTTAGAATATAGTTCAGAAGCGTTGTTTCTATACATAGATGATAGATTAATAGTGATTTCTTAAGCTCAACATATTTCACTTCCAAAGCAAAAGAAGGAAAGATTTTGTATCCACACATACTTCCAGCACCTAAGTACCCAGTAACGATAGTGATAGGAGCTTTTCCAAGCACTCCCGCATCGTCCTTTGATTCTACCAAGACTGGAACATCTTCGTCGTCGATGTCGCTCATTATTCCAAGTTGCTTGGGAGTGTAGATGTTGGTTTGTGTGTGTTGACGGGTGAAGGTTCTCGGCTATTGCATTAGGAATGAGGGTGGGTGAGAGGTTAGGGTTCATGAATTTATCTCAAGTATGTACCTTAACCCTGCTCAATTGTGAAGCTCTGCGCCGAAGGTTTCAGTCTCTAGCTTGTCCATGATCACCAAATATCATATCATAAATAGGGGATTACGTAGATAAGATGGCAGTCAAAGCTATGTTTGCCGTACTCTTGAGAGAGTAAATACATGTATAAATCTTTAGAGGCTAGAGCCACTACGGTATCGGAGTGCATGGCGGGGTAGAGCATGTGAGGAGCGCCTGGAAGGGAACTCTTGGCTCGGATCAGCGAATGAAAATACTTTCAATCCAGATCATTCCTAAGCAACAGCAGCGTCGCTGTTACGAACGGAAAAAAAAAAAAAGGAAAAAAAAATGTGGAACCCCTCTTACCTGGAACGAGCGGAGAAAATCAACTCTACTCAGACTGCGCGTGTATCAAGCGATCGAGTAATCATCCCCTCGAGTCATAGCCCCCAGCTCTCCCCACCCCCACCGCGATTCCCCGTCTCAAGTATTTAAAAGCGATCATTTACCCATCTCCGAAATCCATTTTACTCTCTTTACTGGTACATTTACGACTCCAAACAATTGTGCAATAATGCCATCAATCAAAGAGAAATCACCGTCAACTTTGTATGATAAGATCTATGCCGACCATCTGATTGATGGCCAGACGATCTACATAGACAGGTATGCCATATAATTCGTGCATCGGTTCATTTATCATTATGCTATCTCGGGAATGCTGGTTCTAATTATGTTTATTCCCACAGACATCTAGTCCATGAAGTCACCTCACCGCAAGCCTTCGAGGGCCTCAGAAATGCTGGTCGATCTGTGAGACGACCAGATTGCACTCTTGCCACTGTAGACCACGTATGTCAATTGATCCTTCCCCCGAAAAGCTTCATTGCCCCCCAAAAGTAGAAGAAAGAAAGAGAAGGACCAAATATTAACATTTTTTTGAAGAACATTCCTACATCGTCCCGCGCAAACTATAAAAATGCCAAAACCTTCATTGAAGAGACTGACTCTCGCCTTCAATGTCTTACCCTAGAAGAAAATGTTGAAGCTTTTGGCCTCACCTACTTTGGGCTTGGTGACAAACGTCAAGGGATTGTGCACATTGTTGGCCCTGAGCAAGGGTTTACTCTGCCTGGAACTACCGTCGTCTGTGGCGATTCTCACACCTCCACACATGGTGCCTTCGGAGCTCTCGCCTTTGGAATCGGTACATCCGAGGTCGAGCATGTTCTTGCTACTCAGACCCTCATCAGCAAGAAGAGTAAGAACATGAAGGTACAGGTCGATGGTCCTCTCCTACCCGGCGTCACAAGCAAGGATGTCATTCTTCATATCATTGGGAAGATTGGTACCGCTGGTGGCAATGGAAGCGTCATCGAATTTTGCGGTTCAACGTTTAGGTCGTTGAGCATGGAAGCTAGGATGTCAGTGTGTAACATGTCTATTGAAGGTGGCGCTAGGGCTGGTCTAATTGCGCCGGATGATGTCACTTTCGAATACCTGAAGGGAAAGCCCTTGGCACCAAAATACGATTCGGCAGAGTGGCACAGAGCCCTCAAATATTGGCGTACCCTAAAGTCGGATCCTGACGCAATTTGGGATACGGAGGTTTATATCGATTCCAAAGATATCATTCCTACTGTTTCATGGGGTACTTCTCCTCAAGATGTAGTACCAATCACTGGAGCGGTCCCCGACCCCAAGGACTTTACGGACCCGGTGAAGAAAGCTGGTGTGGAGCGTGCTCTTGAGTACATGGGTCTCGAAGCAGGTACACTTATGCAGGATATTGTGGTCGACAAAGTCTTCATTGGCTCGTGCACAAACTCCCGTATTGAAGATATCCGGGCTGCTGCTAAGATAGTTAAAGGAAAGAAGATTGCCTCTAACATCATGAGAGCTATGGTAGTCCCTGGGTCTGGTCTCATCAAAAAACAGGCAGAAAGGGAGGGCCTAGACCAGATCTTCACCGATGCCGGCTTTGAGTGGAGGGAGGCAGGATGCTCTATGTGCTTGGGAATGAACCCCGACGTTTTGTCTCCCCAGGAACGTTGCGCGAGTACTAGTAACCGTAACTTCGAAGGAAGGCAGGGTGCCGGTGGACGTACCCACCTCATGTCACCAGCCATGGCTGCCGCCGCCGCCATTTCTGGAAAGCTAGCAGATGTGAGGAAGTACGCCCCAGGCGGCGAGGAGCCCGAAAAGGAGCAGGGCTCGCCTAAGATCGCAGTGCAAGCGGAGAACGAGGATCCTGTCACTGAAGAAGATCTCGACAGGATTGATGACATCCCCATAGATCAAGAGGCTACGAATGCATCGACACCCAGTATGGAGACTCTCGGACTACCAAAGTTTGAGGTCCTCAAGGGCATTGCTGCCCCAATGCCAATCGCAAATGTCGATACCGATGCGATTATACCTAAGCAATTTCTCAAAACTATCAAGAGAACTGGTTTGGGTACAGCGTTATTCTGGCAGCTCCGATACAACCCCGATGGGTCTGAAAACCCAGACTTTGTCCTCAACAAAGAGCCTTACAGGAGATCCAAGATTCTTGTCGTCACAGGTCCCAATTTTGGATGCGGTTCCAGCAGAGAACATGCCCCGTGGGCTTTGCTCGATTTCGGCATCAAATGTATCATCGCTCCATCATTTGCTGACATTTTTTACAACAATACCTTTAAGAACGGCATGCTACCCATCGCCATCGAGGATCCTGAGGTTCTTGGACGTATTGCGAAGGAGGCCAACGCCGGGAAGGAAATCGAGGTTGATTTGGTAAACCAAACTGTTCGTGGCGCCGATGGTAACGAGCTTGCCACCTTTGAAATTGATGAGTTCCGGAAACACTGTCTGACAAATGGGTTGGATGACATTGGTTTGACGTTGCAATTGGATGCAAAAATTACTGAGTTTGAGAAGAAGAGATCCCTGGAGTGGTCGTGGTTGGATGGAAGCGGGTATTTGGCTAGGGGAAAGAGGAATGGGCCTGTTAAGATCCCTGCAGCCAAGGTGCCGAGCACTAACAGGGGTGAGGAGAAGGAAATCACTGATTGGTAGAAAGTAAGAAAAAATTCTCGAGGTCTATTTGATATATTGGAGTGTCGGGATATGGGTTTGGGTTCAAGTTCTTATTCGTTCCTTCCTTTTTTTTTTTTTTTTTTTTTTAGCTACATGCATTTTCTTATCAATAAATTTGGAAACGTCTTAAGTCCATACATCTACCCAGATCCCTGGTTCGCTTATGTCGCTTATCGGGTGCGGCTCTGCGGGTAGCTTGCGTCATGCAAAGGGACTTCCCGCAAGCATTTCAGAGTGAAAATCACGCAACCAAGTCATCGTTCACCAGCCTTCATTATTCCTAAGCTACAACATTCCAATTAAGTCGAGAGGTGGACCTTATTTTACACTCTTTAGATCTTTACTCATTGGAATGCAATGAATGTTAAAATGCGTCCATTTAAGCAATCTATTGCTTGATCTACATGATGACATCCACAAAACAAGAAGTATGCACACGTACTTGCATCATATCAACACATCGTGATTACTGGTATTCGTATACATATACATGTAGTTATTGCGTGTAGGTTGCTAAAAATGAGGTTATCTGTCAACTAAATGGAACATACATATGGCACCTATGGCCTCTCGAGAATCTCATGTTAATTTCGTCAATGACCCATACAGTGGTATGCTCTGTTCTGCTTCTACTGCAACCCCTTACATGAACGACCATAACCATGCCTTTAACATTCCGGTGTCAAAAAGAGCCACCTCCCGACCTCCCACCTATACCGATCCCCGGACTGGAAGGTATAATGAGTAGCGATGGTGTTGCTAAAGTATTTAACCTCGACCCACGCCTCCAGGACACAAAGCCTGGTAAACATCACATCATGGCTCCTCGCGAAGGTGGATTTCTTGAAAGCATTAAGGCCTCGTTCTCCGGTAAAAGTGCCAAAACCGATTTACGCACCACCCCTTCAAGGAGGAAACGGGAAAAGGGAAAGGAAAGAGAGAGAGACCTTTCATTTGTGATTCTCCCCCGGTCTGCTTCTTCACTTGTCCCAGGAAAATCCTCCATGCCACTACCTCCAATGCCCAGTAGAGATAATAGATTACCGAGGCATTCGAATGTGTTTACAGGTGTTCCTACTCCTACAGATTCAGCAATTACATCTGCGAGGAATAGTCAACATGTTCCTAGCAATCCTGGAACTCCGGTGCCTGGCCATCCCTTGAGATCGAGTCGGTCTGTACCGGATTGGAAAGCTGAGCAGCGTAAGCAGTACTGCTACTTTGAGGGTACAAGCGACAATGAGCTGCCTAGAATGCCATCTGCATATGAGCCTCAGCCAATTTCAAACCCAGGAATGACCGCGGAGGGGCTTAGAATCCTCAATAAAACACCCAAGGAAAGCGAAACCTCAAAAGAGGACTCTTCAAGTGCCGCACCAATTGGCCGCTACAAAAGAAAACTTATAGCACCTAATGCGATTAATAGCAACGAGGCATTCAATCAGCAACGATCATCAATCAAGTCCCACATATCAGCGCCTCTGATTGAAAAGGCTGGAATCAAAAGAAGAGAAACTCAAACCTCTTTTTTAGCAAAGGACGGTCCGGAAAATGCGAATCCCCAAACTATTCCGATTCGCAAACAATCGCAGCAACGGCCGGACAAAAGTCCTACCCTATCTCCCTCGCTGCAAAATCAACAAATACAGGTTCGCCGACGCAGCACTGCAGACGATCAGAAACCATCATCATCCGCATCCCACCGTCTTCCCGAGCGACCATCATCCACATTCACTTACCAGACTCATCGAGCACACGCTCTATGTCCTGTCGTAGAAGAAACCCCCCAGCCCGTGTATACTCCGAAGTGGGGCTCGAATTGGAGTCCTCATCTTCAACAAGAGTCCGAACTTTTCTTCGAGACAGGAACCAGGAACGTGGCCTCGGAGCAAGTCCCAGTGGAAATGGGAATTCCGAGCCCGCGACACAAGCACAAGACTCGGCCCGCAAGCTGGTCGTGTCCGATACGGCCAACGATGGATCCCAGCTCTAGGCTAAATTCACGGAATAAGTACGAGTTTGGTTTTATGTTCCCGCCCACACCTCCGAGTAGTACCGGAGACGATGTCTGGGATGATCAAAGACTGATTGATGGAGAGCCAAGACATCTCTGGAATAAGTTGAGGAACCTTTGGAACTTTTTCGTCATGATTTGGGCGTTAATTATCCTGTTTAAGAGTCTGCAATTCCTTATAAGGTTTGTAGATATTGTGGTTTTAGAGCCTGGGAAGTTTTTGTACGATTTTGTAAGGAACATTGCAGATGGGTAATCTTGTTGTCTGTCCAAGCGGTCTAAGGTTGTTGGATCCTTTCAGTATTCATTTTAGTACTGTTGCGGAGGTTGGGAGTATGTATGTACATACGGGTATGGGAATAATAAGTATCTGGGCCTTTTTTTTTTGCCGAGTGCAGTGAGTTTATACAGTACACGAAAAACCGGGGTGAAATCACTACCATACGAATGCGGAATTTAGTGAAGAATACGGAATTAAATCCGCATTACAAAAAGAATACCGTATTCTTGCCGCATTAGAGCGTATTTGCCAACCGTCAATTTCAAGAATTTACAAATTGTGGGGCTCCGAAATGGCAACCGGGGCTGTTCATTTTGAATTTCGGTGGTGCGGCGTGCTGTGAGATATACCAGGAGGATCACAAGCACCCAGTTTTGTTACTACCGAAGCTAGTATCATGGGTATGAATTTTCAGTTCCAACAGCGTATTTCACAGGTAGCGTGATGGATTGTCTGGTTTTCGGGGTTTATTCTGTCACACCGTTAACCAGATCGATTTTGGTCACTGAGGGGAACTGTCAATTTTACCTCCCGAAACTGTCAAGTTTGAAGTGTCAATAGTTGAAATTGACGGTTGGCAAATACGCTCTATTACTAGCGCATTAACCGGAATACCGCAGCGAATCCATATCCTTTTCTGGTACACTAAGGGTGCCTCCGGGTGTTACCCCCCGGGTCATTATTCGTCCCGCTCCAAAGCTACATGTACTTATGTCATGTATTCTAGAATTTAGATTCCTCCTAGCACCTGTGATTGATCTCCTACAGCCCGAGTACAGGTACCCGGGCCCTTACGCAAGCAGACCTTCCCATCAACTCCGAGACTACCTCATTTTATCCTTTTGTTAGCCATGAGATTGATACCATGAATGCATTACTTGTATGTACTTGATCCTACGTATACACATTACTGATTCCTCAAGATTCACAACGTGAATAACTAAAATTTTTACAAACCTGACCACTACTGGAGATAGTTACGCTATGCGAGCTAGTTTATTAGCCTATCTAGTCGCATGTAGGTTATTACTTCATTTAGAAGGCACTACATGTACTACTGTTCGATCAGGGTGATTAGCAGTATTCCCACTTCAGCATTTAAGTATTGCGCTCATAAATTGATCTCATAGAAAAATTAATGTCGCTTCATGAAGATATTGCAGGAGTTCTAATCAACTACTTGTGCATGCCAGTTACATACAGTATATAAATTGAAGAAATAGTCAATCCTCAGGACTTTTGACTTATATAAGCCTATTAGAAAGAGATTTAATACGTATACTTATACACATTTATATAATTATAAATATACACGCGGAGCACATCAAACCGAAGAAATTCAGAAATCATGTATTATCACTCGCATCAAATTCGTCTGAATTTTTGCACACATAATAGACCAGAGATGATCGAGTATTTCCATTAACTCTTTGATTTAGATGTACTCTAATAGGAAGTTTTTTATATATATCAGGTACATTTCATTCTTTGAAGGAGTATAAGTACATGTAAAGCCGGAGTTTTTGGTTGCTCATCTACTGAACCAAGCTCAGCGAGTATACATATGTATGTACATGTAGTTGCATTTGTTTAAAAGATAAACGGTCCTACGTGGCCACATGTATAGTATCAGGTTAATGGTTGTGATTGTACTCAGATCATTCACCTATATATCTAATATCGATCGTAATCTTGTATGATGGACATCTCTATGTTGGCGTAAGCTTTTAATCGGATATACATAAGATGTATATATCCACAGCAAATCAAGCTCTGCCAGGCCAACGAGGCTTGCTAGCTCGTTCTAAAGCTTAGTCAAAAGGGACCCAACCTGTACGAATGGCCCAAATGTTGTCAGGCCATTTAGTGCATTTCAGACAACTAAGAACATGTACACACGCACACGCAGTCAGAAACATTGGTCCATAGTAGCTAGCTGGACACGTGGCTGATCGCGCCAAGATCGTTCTCAAGTTAACAGCCAGGCGTCCTGGGGTGTTCCTGTCACGAAGGATGTATCAGAGTGAGGAGGTTGGAAAGTGCCAGGCCTGGAGGCTTGGGATTTTTGTCACAATAGAGCGTATTTGTCATTTTTGACAATTGACACTTCGAAATTGACGGTTGCAAAATGCAAAATTGACACTTCCCCTCCATAAGGATATGAAATGCGCAAGCCGCAAAATGACACTTGTGGATGCCGCTTTGGAGAGTGGCGAAGCGCTAATTGTTAAAATTGACGGTTAGTAAATACGCTCTAGAATACGTGGGGTCTACACATATTACCAAAGAAAACAAATGGCTAGAAATAGCTTCTACCAATTTCACCTAAGCTAAGTTCGAGCTTATTGGCTGATATAGTGTACACTCGAAGTGCGCGAAATTTAATTCAAGGCGAGTGGGATAGCCGCGATACTTATCTGAATGTGGGAAAGTACGTATACATGTAGCTATAGCTATAGCATCTCTCTTTGTTTGGTCCAGTACCTACATGTATCATGGAAATAACACGGTTTTAAGGATGTTTTATTATATAATTATGTGCGCAGGAGTCATTTTTAAGAGCGTCCTTTTGTAAAAGGCTAATTATGTATGCGAGAAATAAATTACATGTAATCATTACTGCCTCTTCAGCTAGCATGCCGTATAGTGCGAGTACATAATCTCAGCACATGCGGCATGAATTACACCTCACTTTCCCGTGTTGTATATGTAAAAAGGAGCGTATATTAGAGAGTATTTGCCAACCGTCAATTCCAAGAATTGACAAATTGTGGGGCAACCGGAGCTGTTAATTTTGAATTTCAGCGGGGCAGCGTGCTGTGAGATATCCGAGGAGAACCACAATTACCCAGTTTGGTACCACTGTAATTAGCATCATCGGTATGAATTTTAAGTCCCGACGGCGTATTTCATAGGTAGCGTGACAAGCTCTTTGATTTTCCGAGTCTATTATGTCATATGCCCAACCATACCATTAACCGGATTGATTTGGCCACTGAGGGGAACTGTCAATTTTGCCTCCCGCAACTGTCAAGTTTGAAGCGTCAATAGTCGAAATTGACGGTTGGCAAATACTCAAATGAATATTCCTATTATTTTATTTCATAAAATACAGTACGAAAAATTAACGGGGTAAAACAAGTGTCATTTCTGACAATTGACACTTTAAAATTGACACTTCCCCTCCACGGAGGCTAGCGGCACAAGGAAGGTACGATTGGGGTAACTCTAAAGATCTAATAATTCCTCACGCTATCTGTGATACGCTGGCGGGATATGTACCTTGTATCCTTTCGCAGACTGGCAAGCAACCCCGTCCAAAATTGACACTTGCGGATGTCGCTTTGGAGAGTGGCGAAGTGTCAATTGTCAGAATTAAGGGTTAGTAAACACGCTCTACTACAGGTACTACTATGGCATTTCCTAAAGAATAGCTTTTTCTAAAATATACATGTAGCTCTTTCCGATCGAACTCACTAGCCTTTTTAAACACGGTTTATAATTGAAACAACTCCTTTTTTAAAAAAAACATTACATCTTTGCTATGTATTCAAGACAGCGCTTGTATTAACAAGTACCTTTTTGCGACAGCAGTGTTTTTATTGATGTGGTATCGCTATGCTACTTTAAAACCTACAACACTTGTACTCGCGCTGCCGGATTGAAGCCGCTCAGACAAAAGAGGTAACTGATCTGAGCACTGCAAAAACGTGAGCTCTTATTGGCTGCCAGATCACTCGCCACAGTTCTTTGAGCAGCTTCAAACCGGCCGCGCGAGTAGGTACGGCTTCAATGACACACACCCTAGTTTCCCCGGGGGTTTTGTATTGCATCTAGTTCGAATCGCCATTTTCAGTTTGGCTTACGCGTAGCTGTGCATGTGGGGTAGATTTCCACAACATTGACTTCAAATCGCCACGTAACCGGCGAGATACCTAGCTGCACTCCCGAATATTAGAAAGTATGAGCAGATTTTACTTCGGTTCCGACTCGGACAGCGATAATGATAATGCCGACTCGCTGCCGTTCCCTGCGCCTCTTCCCCGAGAGGCTTTCTCCACCGATATCGACGCGCCGTTCTCGCCCACAGCATTTTTAGCCACGCTGCGACACCGTCATCAGACGCTTGAAGATTTGCGCGCAGAGCTCCGCACAAGAAGTAAAGATCTTGAAAAGGAACTTGTAGAGCTTGTTAACAGGGATTATGTCGATTTTGTTGGATTAGGGAGCTCATTGAGCGGGGGTGATGGAAGGGTAGAGGATTTGAAGATGGGATTGTGGGGGTTCAAAAGGGATATCGAAGGCGTTGTGGGGAGGATTAGGGAAGTAGTAGAAGAGGTTGAAAGAGAACTGAAGGCCAGGGAGGATATAAGGGCGGACAAGGTTTGTGGCGATGATTTTGTTGATTGGTATCTATCATGGTAGAAGCCTTGATATAAATTTGATACTAGTGCTGACAGAGTGGTTATTCTCTGACTTGTTAAGATGCTCGCAAGGACATTACTAGCCCTCTCGCAAAGACTTGACGAGCTCTCATCCCTATTACTTCTCGATGGGTCAACCCCGGCAGATTCAGCATCACTATTATTTGATGGTGACGGCGACGAAGAAGGAACAGGAGGAGATGGGTTAACGAGTATCGGCCGTCTGAGGAAGATAGTTTCGGGATATCGTTATGTCGTCCAGCACCTGGTACCTCGTGTACCAGCACATCATCCGTTCTTGAAAGCCCAGTTGCCTAGGATCGCGAAAGTCAAGAATACCTTGCTATTGGATCTTCGAAGTGCATTGAAGGAATCAAAGCTAGGAGATGTGGAAAAAACTATCGTGGTAATGGGGTTCTATGCCGATCTTGGAGCAGAAAGTGATGCAGTTAAGGTGTTAAGAGAGATGAAAAAGGAGGGTTGAATTCTGGTGGGTGTTTGGTTCTGGTGGTCTAAATGCCGGGTTGTGGAATGAGTAGATTTCTCTTTCCAGTGCGCCCTCCCCTAAGTATTAAAGTTTTAAAAAGGAATTCAGTGCAAGTACGTCTCATACTTACCCATCTTGATTTAACCCAGGGTGGGTGTATATATACGATTCTACTTTGTATGTACTTTCTCAACTAGCACTAGTATCATGAAAGATCGTGTCTACTCGCAGCTCTTTTTGAAGCTACTACATGTAGTACCAATTCCCACTAAATTTAGTCAAGCCTGGGTATAGTAATGTTTGCGAGTGAGAGCCAATGATTACCTTAACGTCGAACTGCATAGAATTATAAGGCTTATCGGGTAGGTTTATCCAGAACGTAGGCTCACAATAGCCTTACCAGCACAAAAATCCTTATTTCATCCTTAAAACATGCTTAAATAACACTTATTTGAACCTTATTGTATTCAGAAGGCTATTGTGAGCCTACGTTCTACCCAATAAGCCTTATAATTTCATGTGGTTCGACGGTAGATTAAAAATCTGATCTGCAGGCGCCACGATCGCAGAATTCTCCGATGCAAGCAAGGCTAGATTTTTATTTTATTTTTACCTCTGATGAGACATTCCTGTTTCACAACGTCACCGATCTCTTGGATGGCCTAGTCCAAGACAATAATTTGGTGCGCTAACATGATACATAATGCACTAACACTCACACGTCGTTCACGGGTCATACATGTATGTTTCCATCTCTCCATCCCCCACTCTTTTTCTTTCGTTGTTTATTCTATTTACTGTCGTTATATCAACTGTCTACACCTCAGATTATCCATTCGCTTTCACAATAATGGCTTATGACCCTGGAAAACAGAACATTGGTTATAATCCACCTAACCCAATGCCATATCATGGAGGTGAAGGGAGTAATCAACAATGGCAGCAGCCACCCCCACAAAATTACTATGGGGGACCACCGCAGCAACAGCAGCAATTTCAATTGCCCCAGGGACAATTAAAATATGCCCCTAATGAATCCAGCCCATCAGTCCAACCACCTATGAATCAACCATACGGCGAGCCTCCACCGTACACCTTCGAGGAGAAGTTCGCTATACAGAGGCCAAGGTACAATGATCTTTGGGCCGCAATTCTTGTAGGTACCTTTCTTCTCGGTCTGATTAAGACCACACTTGAGAGACACTGTTATATTGATGTTGATATTACAATTATGTTCTAGTTCATTACCGACCTCTTAGGGTTGCTAGCTTTGAGTATCATTAGCTTCAGAAGCTACTCGGAAAATAAAAGAGTACAGAATGGCGGTGGAATTGGGGTTCGTGGGAACGAACAAAGTGATTTCGGGGTAATTTTCCTCTTCGTATACAAAATGCTCCATATGTTCCAAACTCCGATTCGTAATCTCGTCACTGATTCGTCACGCTTAATAATTTTAGCTCTCCAACAACACTATTGTTTTGTTTATTCTTGTCTGCGGAGTTTCACTCCTATTATCATATGGTTATTTTCTTGCAGCACGAGCCTGGACAAAACAGATAATTTACGCTACTGCAATCTTGAAGTAAGCAAATCCAACCATATCACATTATGACTCTGCCTTAACCTTGGATTAGCATTATTGTGGGTATTGGAACTGCCGCATACTACTTCTCGAGACAGAGATATGGAGCGGCAATCGTATTTATTATTTTCGCCTTGTTCTATGCATACTGTTTCTGGACATGGAGAAATCGAATACCCTTTGCGGTCTTGATGTTTGAAACAAGCTTCGACGTTGCTAAACAATACGGCCACGTTTATATGGTTTCATCTCTTGGTGGTCTTGCAGGTGTCATATTTGCGGCGTGGATGCTTGTAACCTATGTGGCTATTTACGCTACGTATACACCAAGCGAATCAGATAACCTGGCATGTGGAGCCGGCAGGACAGGGAATGTTACATGCTCCAATGGCAAGATGATTGGACTGGTGGTCTTTGCTACCTTTAGTGGCTATTGGATATCAGAAGTGATAAAAAATATCATTCACGTGAGCATTTCAGGAGGTAAATTTCCCTGGGTCCTTTCACAAAGGGGGTTATCTTGAGAACCCGAAATTTCTAATTTCATTTTTCGGAGTTTAGTTTATGGATCATGGTACTTCTGCTCTCGTTCTGCCCAAGGAATGCCAGCACATCCCACACTAGGGGCTTTTAAACGTGCAATGACGTACTCATTTGGTTCAATATCTTTCGGCTCCCTAGTTGTAGCGATCATTCAGCTTTTAAAGCATCTCTGCAGACTTTCTCAGAACCAGCAATCTCAAGATGGATGCTCAGTCGGTTGTGTAGCTTGCTGTATCCTTGGCTGTTTACTAGATTTTATTGAGTCAGCTGTGAGATGGTTTAATGTAAGACTATTCACATCAGGGAAATAAACTGGTACATGCTGATTTTATGAAACTACAGCACTACGCTTACTCTTATATCGCGTTGTATGGCAAGGCCTATATCGATTCGGCCAAAGAAACCTACAGAATGATGAAAGATCGAGGATTAGATGCCTTGGTCAATGATTGTTTGGTAGAGCTGCCCAATATATGGTTTTGGTTTGCAGCGTTAAAACAAAAACTGCATCAATCACTAATGTCGGGAAACATACCTAGGTCGACCCGGTATTATCTACGGCATCAGTCTTCGTCGCCATGCTTTGCACTCTTATTGCATATGTATATCTATACGCTACTGCGCCTGTGTATAACAGCACGGGATCCTTTACACCGGCCATAATGGCTTTCGCCTTCCTTGTTGGTTTGCAGATCTGCAATATCTTCTTGACACCGATAAAGGTGTGCCCCATCGACTCGTCCAAAATTGATAAATGTGGAAGAATACGGGCTAACTCTATCCGATTTGATCTAGTCTGGTGTGGCGACAATTTTCACAAGCATGGCACATAATCCTGAAATTCTCTTGAGAGACTTTCCGGAACTTTACCACAAGATGTTGGCAGTGTATCCCCACCTTGCGCAGGCAATACATGCTTAGCTGCAACGACGAAATTATAAGAGGCTGGAAAAGGACTTTTACATTCTTTTAGACAAGTAAACCTTAGCAAATTCGGACTAGATTGATGATTATTAGCCATGTTTCTGATTTTGGCCGTTCAAGGTCATCATTCTAATAGCCCTTGTTCGTATTTTGAGATAGCGCGTGGTCCGATCAAGTACAACGCTTACCTTTTCTTTTTGAGAATACCATGTCTTATAAAGTGATGCAAACAATATAATAACCTATACTATGTGGAGATCATGATAAAAACTACACGCGTCTCTTATAGCCAGGCGTGATCGTAATTTCCCGCATTGTGCATGATTAGGAACGAGAGGTCAGGTGAAGAGATCCCGTTATTACTACATATACTCAATCGAACTCAAGCCTAAAACGAGAGTATTATTTTGATCGGATATCACAGCATAGGGGCTTAACCCAACATGTTCTGAGGTAGTAAATGGTAGGATTTACATACATGTATGTATTCAATAAGATGGTAGAGTATAAATTAATGATCGAATGTATGAGGTACGTACTCAGTACTACATAATATATATATCCTTTAAAATCTACATGTAAATAGATAATTTTAGAGTACGCCGCGATCAATCCAAACCTGATGTCCAGGTGGATACTTGCAGCGGGGCAAGGAGCTCCCAATTACTACGTGCGCCAATATAGAATTGTTTACCTTTAGGAGATTTAGTATTATTTTTTAGTAAGTAGTTGTGATATATGTGAATCATATAAACTCACTCGGTACTTGATCATTCAAAGTAGTCTAGTGTTGCATCGCGCTGCAGAGCCTCAGCGCTAATCCCGGATCGCGCATCATTTTGAAGTTCCTCCTGTTCCAGCTTGAGTTCCAAATCATCCATCGCAGAGCTCTGATCCTACAAATAAGTCCCTAACTCAATAAGCTTCTCCGAATGCATAGTGTACAGTCTGCTCCGTCACGGAGCCCACATTCCCCGGAATCACCTGCAACAACCCAGGTCCAGAGCTTCGCAAACACCTTCATCCAGAGGTCGCGACCTTACCTCAGCGATGAGCAGATTGAGGCGCTGTTACCGAAGGACTCCCAACTCGAAGCAAAGGATATAACTACTAGGCTGAGTGCGTGTGTTTGGATCATGCAGGTTGGGCAGAATATGCAGTTGTAGGTTTTTAAATCTCGTGAATGGTAGAGAAGGTGGGTGCTAATCGCTACGCAGCCCAGTGAGGACTATGGCTACGGCGATGATCTTGTATCATCGGTTCCGGTTATTTAATCGGAATCCTTTTCTGGAACATAATTGGATGGTATGTAGATCGTGAATGATGACTCTTTATTCACATGCGTTTGGTCTGGAACTTATGTCGTTTGTTGTTCAGGATGTTGCGGCGACATCATTATTTGTAGCCTGCAAAATTGAAGATACATTGAAGAAATCAAGGGAGATACTGGCAGCGAGTTATAATTTGAGACATCCACAGGCTGAACCGATCAATTCAGATAATCAGGTAGGATGTCAGTTACTTAGGGCGAAGCATGAACATACGCGCTAATTATGGAAATAGATGCTTGATGATGGCACAAAACGCGTTATTGGGATCGAGAGAATGATACTTGAATCTTCGTCATTTGACTTCCGGTATCGTCATGCTCAGCCTTTGATTATCAAATTTGCGAAGCGCTTCAACTTCTCGAAGGAGTTGACACAGAAGGCGTGGGATATATCTATCGATGTTTACAAGACACTCGCGCCTCTGAAAGCTACGCCACATGCATTAGCTCTTGCAGTTCTGGATCTTGCCATGAGGCTTGAGGGGGAGAAAATCAATATACAGTATGAGGAGTTCGAGGTTACTCGTGATTCGGTTCTGTGTAAGTGAAAATCTCTATTTACTTTTTTTTCTTTTCTTTTAAACACTATTCTAACTTGAGCGGTTATGGTATAATCTTAATGCCCAAAACAGCTATTGTTGATGACCTTTTAGATCTTTACACAAATCACCGCAGCTACACATTAGTTGGGACACAATATGATAGCAACACCTACCTCACACACCGAATTGAGCTCAACAAAGAACGTCAAACACATGGTAACGGCCATCACAAACACAATGGTAACGGCCAGGACTCGTTGAATTCTTCACCCAGTGATGTTTCTTATAATCTTGCAAATGGACAAGTGACCAATGCGACAGACCGTGGAACTCATGGTACTGTACGCTTCATGATCGATCCTAGTCGAGAAAGGTCAGAGAGACATTTACTCGACCGGCATGCACATGATAGCAACGGGACGGGTGGAAGTCCCTCCAACGGGAGTTCATAAGGCGCAATTCCAATGTTTGGTTCTGTAGAAAAAGAGTCGTCCGGCCAACTGTTAATTGACAATAATTTCTCAGAAAAAGAAAGAAAAAGAAAGAGGAAGAATGAATGAATGAAGAAAGAAGAAGAAAGGAAGAGAAGAGGAGAAGAGAATTCGACATCTTCTTTTGTTCTTCTGTTTCTTTAATGGTTGAAAAACTGTTTTTGACGGGAATTATCGTTAATAGTAGCGAGTGACCGTTTCCTTACACGTTTAAGGGCCCCTAGAGTAGAACTGCCATGATCATAGGTTTGGTATGTGCTATGTATGTAGATACATGTAGTGTCGAGTTTTGGACTCCATAGGACCTTGGCGTGGAACAACGCGTCGGAGTTCACCAAGACTATCTTAGAAAGCTACAAAATGCGAGAAGTCGATGGATTTATCAATTCTTACCATGGTGGAATGGTCTCAAATAATGTCTCGTGAATAGGCGTTGATCATGGCTTTCATGGCTAGAAGATACACAGTATTGCAAAGTATATATTATGTTGGGCAGGATAAAGAATAATCATAGCATCGCACTCGGTACCTGTTATCCTCTCGGCACATCCACTTGACCCTCGGCAATGATGTAATCAGTACCTGCGGCATAAGACTCCCTCCACGCCACCTACCTATCATTCGGAACTTAGACAGACATACAGAAAATGGCATCTAATCGAATCACAGCATCTGTCATCCGCCGCTGCCTTGCGGCTTCGAGATCGATTGCAATTCCTAGCCGTATTGTTACTCACACCAGCCTACGTCCCTCTCTGCAGATTCAACCCAAGATCATCCAGGTCTCATGGGGTACAATTCGGCATCACTCCACTCCAGCCCCAGAGTCGAAGGTTTATGGCTACGATCATGTCAGTTTAACAACTCCCTTCCACACTGCCTATTCGCGTCTTAACAATCGGTTAGATTAAATCTTTTTCGGCAAAACCCTCTGCCAACAGGCTTCTCGTTGATGTGCGCGAGCCCAACGAATTTCGGAATGGGGCCATCCCAACAGCCATAAATGTGCCTATTGCGACTGCACCGGAAGCCTGGAGTTTACCAGAGGATGAGTTTGAAGACCGCTTCGGATTCCCAAAGCCGCAGGCAGATATCGAATTGGTATTTTACTGCAAAGCGGGGGTGAGAAGTAGTGCCGCTGCCCAGTTGGCGCTACAAAATGGGTACGAGAAAGTGGGCGAGTACAGAGGAAGTTGGCTGGACTGGGAGAAAAGGACCATAGGATGATGGTTATTTATGAAAAAAAAGTATTAATACAATGGACTTTGACATTCACTAGTCAAAGAGGAACGATGCCGATGTATTGAATAGGACAATGAAGAGCCGCGCCAAAGGTTTTACAAAGAGTTATGAACTGAGTGCCAGAGAGAGAATCCGGCCTGAAATTTAATATCATGTGATCAAGCAAATCGCGCGTTTTGATATGCAGGTATTATTGGTTTTGGTGAGCCAAGCCATTTAAAAAAGTCCCAGGACCGTTATCTTCAGCCACAGAATGATCCTAGCAAACCAAAACCGGTCCAGCAGATTGTTACTCGTCCGGACTATTACGCCCGTATTACAATCGTAAAAAAGCAGAAATCCCAAGTCTTGCAAGAAAGAAGCGCCCAATAATTTTCCGTTGCCCCAGCAAATTTTTACTTTTTTGAAATTCCTTGTATGATCACAAAAGAAGAAGAAAGAAACGAAACACCACCGACCCTTTAAGCATCAGTGGTGACTCTTCCCTTAGGGTTGGTAACCTTGACACCAAGAGCCTTTGCCTTAGCAATGATCTCAATGCGCTTTCGGGATGAGACGGCGTGACCGATCCTATAGAAATCGATTAGCCCACTTCTTCGGGATTGTATATAGTTTACTGAAGGTATGGGTCGAGGGGGTTTACTCAGCGGCATATGTCTTGTTGTGCATGAGGAGCATATCAACATCAGAAGTGTTCTGGACAAGGAATGCCTTGTGGCCGGAAGGCATCATGTGCTTAGTCTTGCGGTTGGATCCGTATCCGATCTATAGTTCCCCGATAGATTTCCCGTCAGAATCCCATTTCCTTACTCTCCGAAATTCACCTCCATTCCTACTGCCGGCTTGGTGGATCGTACCGAAGGCATGGCAGCCTGTCCCTTAAACCGCCTCCTGACCCTGTTGTCAATACCCTTAGGCTTCCTCCATGACGGCTTGACGGTCTTGTAGGTATCGCTCTGGTGGCTATGTTGCGGTTATAAAGGTTAGTCTTTGCCTTCGTTTGAGCTTCCTTAAGGTTTGTTGAATTTGCGGATTCGGGGAGAACGATAGATCCGAGAGCTGGTGAGTCCTACCGGTTGAACTTCTTAGTCCGCTTCTTGATGATGGGAACGTGCTTCTTTGCTGCGGTCATCTAATTAAAGAAATGGTGAAAATCAGTCATGGCCCAATCCGTAATTCCATTTTTCTTGGACAATTTTTCTCGAGAGTTTCAACGTGAAAAAGCTCCAACGTTAAGATACGTACCTTGTTGACTGGGTGGTGAGATCCTAGGGTGGAAGGGTTAGTTGTCGGGTCGGTCGGTCTTCGTTAGTTGGAAATTGCTGGAGTTTGACGATTGCGAATATTCACTTTCGCATGCATGTGTTGTGTGGGCATACCAATTGTGACTGCCATTTACATGGTGTTGCCCTGTCCAGTATGATATGTTCTCAGCCTGTCATAAAATTGTATACCAGCGCTACTAAGTCAATGATCGTTACCCGGCTACAAAACCACGTGCCAATGCATTGTGCGTCGCAAACAAAAACGTAAACAACGACATACTTTAGAGCTGTGCCTACTATATGCGCTTCGATCACATCAAGCATCATGTGGGTTGTGGAGATTATTATCGACGTAACTATCCCCTACTTATTACTGCTTAATCTTGGAATCTAAGCTTTCACAGGGATTCAAGTCATATGCAGTTCGTACGGTCATCACCGGCTGGTTTGTTGGCCCCCCCTCTCACCGGGATTCTATGACTGAGTAGAGCCCAGGGATGAAAGCTTCAACTCGATTACCGGTCTTAATGGGTCAGGAAAATCAAATATTCTCGATGCAATATGTTTCGTCCTTGGAATTACCAATATGTCCACCGTGCGAGCACAGAACCTACAGGATTTGATTTACAAGCGTGGACAGGCCGGTGTTACTAAAGCGAGCGTTACAATCGTTTTTGATAACTCCGACAAGGCAAAAAGTCCTATGAACTACCAAGATTTTGCGCAAATCAGTGTTACAAGACAGGTATGATAGTTTGACATCACGAATAGGCTTGAGTGTGTGCTAATTAAGCTTGAATAGATTGTATTAGGTGGATTGAGCAAATACCTCATCAACGGTTCACGAACCCAGCAGCACGTTGTCCAAACCCTCTTCCAAAGTGTTCAGCTAAACATCAATAATCCCAACTTCCTCATTATGCAGGGGCGTATCACAAAGGTGCTCAATATGAAGCCAACGGAAATCTTATCCATGATTGAGGAAGCTGCCGGGACAAGAATGTTTGAGGACAGGAGGGACAAGGCATTGAAAACCATGGCAAAGAAAGACAAAAAGGTTGACGAAATCAACGACCTGCTAAAGGAGGAGATCGAGCCCAAGCTTGAAAAACTACGTATGGAAAAGCGAGCCTTTTTAGATTTCCAGCAAACCCAGAGCGATTTGGAACGCTTAACTAAGATTGTTGTTGCTCACGATTACCTCAAAAATCAGGTATAGAATAGAACTGTTCTCGATGAAATCTATGGGCAAGCCGAGATACTGACCTAAGGTAGGAAAAAGTAAATCGCTCAGCAGCAGATCTAGAATCTAAGAAACAGCGGGGGAAAGATCTTGAGGAGTCAGCTAAGCGATTAAAGTTCGAGATTGAGAACTTAGCTGAAGATATTAAGATGGTCAAAGGCCAACGAGAAAAGGAACTTCGAAAAGGAGGGAAATTTCAGGCACTTGAGGACGAAGTCAAGGAAAAATCCCACGAAGCTGTTCGATTAACAACCGTACTCGACTTGAAAATTACGAGCATAAAAGAGGAAGTCAAGAAACGCAAGGAGATAGAGAAGAATGTTAGAGAGTTGGAGAAGTCGCTACAGGAAAAATCGAGGCTGTACGATGGCCTGAAGGAGGCGTACGACGCAGCCAAGACGGAGTTTGATGCGTTGAACAATGAGTCTGAGAAAAAAGAGGAATTGCTACAGACCTTGTTAACCGGTGTTGCTTCAAAAGAAGGACAGGAGAATGGGTACCAGAATCAGTTGCAAGGTGATAGATTTCTTCTTTTGGAGGAGCCTTCTGGCTAATTAACTATAGATGCGAAAAACCGAGTTAGTGCTGGGGCGACAGAACAGCAACAGGCAAAACTTAAGATAACTCATTTAGAGAAACGAATAAAAGAGGAGGAACCAAGGGCAAAAAAGGCAAAGGAGCAGAACGCCAGTCTCTATAAAGAACTCGACGGTCTCCGGGCAGCAGCAAAAAGTATTGAAGCAGAGCTGAGCAACCTAGGGTTTGAGGGCGGTACTGAGGGCGATATGTACAAACAGGAAGCCTCAATTCAAGATAGGATCCGGGAGCTCAGAGAAGAAGCGGATGGATTGAAACGACGAGTAGCCAATGTCGACTTCAATTATGCAGATCCTTCACCAAACTTTGATCGTTCAAAGGTCAAAGGCTTGGTTGCGCAGCTCTTTACACTAGATCAAGATAAGGAGGAAGCTGGAACTGCTCTTGAGATTACAGCAGGTGGAAGACTATACAATGTTGTAGTTGATACTGAGGTCACAGGAACCCAGTTGCTGCAATATGGAAAACTAAGAAAAAGAGTAACAATCATTCCACTCAACAAGATTGCGGCTTTCAGGGCTTCTGCCGAGAAAATTGCTACAGCGAAGCGCCTTGCTCCTGGCAAGGTTCACCTTGCGCTATCCCTCATTGGGTACGATGACGAGATCTCTGCTGCCATGGAGTACGTTTTTGGTTCCACTCTAATATGCGCCGATGCCGAGACCGCGAAACGTGTTACTTTTGATCCTAACGTCCGAATGAAATCCGTAACTGTCGAGGGTGACGTTTATGATCCCTCAGGAACCCTGTCCGGAGGTTCTGCGCCAAACTCAAGTGGTGTATTGGTCACTCTTCAAAAACTGAATGGACTGAATAGACAAATAACTGTTGAGACTGGACAGCTGAATGAATTGCAACAATTCATGGCAAGAGAGAAGAAAAAACTAGATATGATGAAGAGACTGAAACAGGAGCTGAATTTGAAAAACCATGAGATTGTATTAACGGAAGAACAGATCAATAGCAATTCTTCGTCTGATGTAAGTGCATTATTTTTCCAATACGGTGATTAGAAAGGTCTGACGCAAATGGATCGTAGATCATTCAAGCTGTAGAAGAAATGAGAGTTAGTATTCATCAACTCAAACAAGATATTGTGGATGCAAAGACCAGACAAGATCAGGCCAAAGCAGACGCAACAAGGATCGAAAACGATATGATTGAATTCAAGAATAATAAGGGTGGCAAGCTTGCGGAACTGCAAAACTCTGTGGCGGATTTAAAAAAGAAAGTGGCCAAACAGTCACAAGAAATGAAGGCCATGCAAAAAGAATTCCAGACTGCTCAACTTGAGACCGAACAGACGGGGGGAGATCTCGCGACAGCTCAAGAACAGCTTGAGGAAGCCGATACTGCCCTAAAAGCCCAACAGGAGGAAGTGACACAGCTTAAAAGAGAACAAGCTAAAGTCAAAGATCTTCACGACATAGCTCTCGCACATCTTGAGGATGAGCGTGCCAAGCTCACTGGTTTTGATGAAGAGCTTCGATCGCTTGAGGAAGCCACCCGAGCAAAAAACGCACGTATTGCGGAGGAAGCCTTGGAGAAACAGAAGCTTGGCCACGAGATCGAAAGATTTCACAAAGATCAGCAGACCGCCAATGATATAGTATCTCACATGGAACGTGAACACGAATGGATCGAAGACGAGAAAGAAAACTTTGGCCGTTCAGGAACGCCTTATGACTTCAACGGACAAAACATCAAAGAATGCCGGTCTTCGCTGAAAACCCTCACTGAGAGGTTTCAGGGGATGAAGAAAAAGATCAATCCAAAGGTTATGAACATGATTGATTCTGTTGAGAAGAAAGAAGTTGCGTTAAAAACTATGTTAAGGACAGTTGTCAAGGATAAGCGCAAGATTGAGGAGACTATCCAGAGTTTAGACAAATATAAGAAGGAAGCACTTCATAAAACCTGGCAGAAAGTTACCGGCGATTTTGGTAGCATTTTTGCGGAACTTTTACCTGGGAGTTTCGCAAAGTTGGAGCCTCCGGAAGGGAAGGAAGTCAGCGATGGTTTGGAGGTCAAGGTGAGCTTGGGTAAGGTGTGGAAGCAGAGCTTGAACGAGTTAAGTGGCGGTCAACGCTCCCTCATTGCGCTCTCCCTGATCATGGCGCTGCTCCAATTTAAACCAGCACCAATGTATATCCTTGACGAAGTGGATGCAGCACTGGATCTTTCGCACACGCAGAACATTGGTCGGTTGATTAAGACCCGATTTAAGGGATCTCAATTTATCGTCGTCAGTTTGAAGGACGGGATGTTCCAAAACGCAAATAGGTATATTACATGCCTACTTTTAGCCACGTTACATTATTCACTAACGTTTCGATTAGGATATTTAAAACCCGATTCGTTGACGGAACCTCTGTCGTACAGACTATGTAATTTCTTAAAGCTGTACTACGACTCATACATGTTCTTATTTTTAATTATCCTTGGAAAGAGTTTTACCGTAGGAGTATATGCGGTTTAGGGGTCTTCGTTTAATTCATTTTGGAAGGAAAGCTTGGCTGTTGTGAGTTTGGAGTACGGGCGTAACAATATTATGATAAAGTATGGTTCATGTATTTTTGACTCGGAAATTATTATACGCTTTGCATAATCGGAAGCAGTGTAAGTGTCGTTGAGGCACATATCCCCGAGAGTACACAAATTCGAATCGAGATTTCGCGGGTGGCACTTTCGGAGCTGAAAGCGTATACATAGCGAGTGATATTATATGATTCACATAACCACAATCCTGAAAACATTGGTTAAAAAAATACTTAAGGGTGAATACTATCTTGATTGAGTGATACCCTGGAACTACTGTAAGTCTATCTAGTATACGATTCTAGAGCTATGTATAGGTGAGGGTGAGGGTAATGCTTACTAGCTGTTACTGTTACTGTCAGTAACTACAAATAGCGTGTCTACGAGGACCTCGGAAATACTAACATCACTACTATGAGGTTGAAAGTGCAGAGTTCAGTTATATATGGACTTGTATTCGTTTTTCCGGAAGTTTTCTGGTAATCTGGGAAAGTGGGAGGAGAAGGGTCTTACAAGATTTACATTTACAAACACTTAGTATAAATATGTATATACTGATAACCATCCGGATAAATAAACAACAAACATAAACACTTCAAAACAATAATATTAAAAAAATACAAAAACACCAATCTAAACTACGCAAAACAACCATAAATGAATTCTTTTATTCCACCGCATATACATGTCGTTCGTATCCTCGCTGCCTATCGTCCAGCTCCTTCCATCGTTCACAAACTATTAGTACTTCTTATAGAGCAAAGAACAATAAAACATTCTCATTATATTCGCTCTTAAAACTTTTTAGCAACGCCGATAACCTACCAACGCCAATAATGCAAATGAAAACCATGTGCCTATCCCCCCATCATCTTCTAGCCACTATGGCCCGGATCTCCGCCCGGATCTCCGACACGATAGCTCTCTCAGAGTTTTTCACTGTTCCAACACCCATTTCAGATAACTATCGGTACGTTCACACAGTTTGTTTGTAACGGCAAGGCCCTTATATCAGTTAATTTATATCTATATATATGTGAATTTTGGATGCTTACACTTTTGATTTTGAAAATTCTGCTAGCAGTAGAATTAGGCCTTGGTAACTCTTTTATTATCCTAATACTACCTGCTCCACTCTGTCCCTCCTCGATAATATTCTTTCCCTAAATTACTTAGTCAGTATAACTATCAAACCACCGTGGTGACCTGATACTTGCCTGGGAAGTGCTAAGCGTCTGGACGAATCGCCGGACCAGCAACGTAAAGCCTAGCCGGACGACCGGCAAACCGAGCAACTCGTGGGGCAAACATCCTGGTAACATCCTAATAAACTTTTGTTCAGTTTATGGATCGTTTGATTTTGACGCAGGCTGCTCTTTGTTCCTGTTCGTCGTTCACGTAGTTGAGTGAATTCAAGTCTTCAATTCTAACAATTGACACTTCACTACTCTCTAAAGCGATATCCGCAAGTGTGAATTTTGGATGGGGTTGCATGCCAGGCTGAAAAATATCTACGTCAAAGGATACGAAATGCAGCTTACGCATTTCATATCCCGTCAGCGTATATACATGTAATTACATTTGAGATATGACTCTAGGGTTAGGGTTGGGCGCCTCTGCCGAGTTAAGTCTACATTCATACATAGTTAAAAATCTATTGATTGATAATTCATTAATTGTGTCCAGCCCGGAGGCTATGACATAGTTAAACATGTATGTAGGTAGAGCACTTATAAAGCCCTAGCCCTCCTTTCCGTACGCATAAGGCGAGTTGGCTAAACGTCTAATTACATACGTTTAAGTTCGAAGTAATAGTACAAATTATTTTTGGGTTAACATCCGATAGAAATAACCCAAAACAGAAAGTAAAATAGCACAAACCTGCCAATATCCCTGAGTGGAGGATCTAATAATAATGATCTATGATACAAACCTCGAACTGTACAGCAAGAATAGATATTCTTGGAGTACTCCCTCCAAGTACACAAAATATATACACAGAAACTAATGAAACAAATGAAACAAATTCAAAGTGATATTGCTGGGCGTATATTAGGCTCCCCTACCCCCTCGACGCTATCTAGCGACTCGTAGGACTTATATTGGTATTGATATCTGTTGATTTCTTCTTTGAGCTGAAGCCCAATCAACCTGAACCTGAACCTGAGGCTTTCTTTGAACTTTCTTCATCGGGGGCGCCGCTATTGCGAGGTGGTTTGTCTTTATCTTCGTGATGTGTGATACTATTAAAAAGACGCTTGAGGAAGCCACTGTGGCCAGGGCGATTTTCAGTCGAGCTTGTACTACTACTGCTATGGTCCGACGCAGTATTGAACCTAGACCGATATTAGCTTGGAGCTTGGTAAGCCAAATAGAGGAAGGATTTTAGGCAAACGTACTGGTCGAGGCTGACATTCATAATTCTATTTGCATGGGGGTCTTTAAACTCGTCTGCGAGCAACTCTAGCAAGGTTCTCTGGGTATGCGTGAATTTCCTGTGGAAATGTCAATTGCTGAAGGATACAGAATGTAAAAGGGACAACTCACTTAGGTAGGTTGATCTTGTACTCAATTCTAAGATCACCGCATCTGCTCTTGCCTATCTTTTTCATTCCTGCTCCTGGGATTGTAACTTTATCCCCCGAATTTGTGCCTTGGTTAACCTTTAGATCAACTTCTCCATCCAGGGTCGGGATTGTGATCTTTCCACCCAAAATCGCCGTAGTGAATGGGAGCGTAGCAGTATATGTCACATCGGCGCCCTTCCTTCCAAAGTCCTTGTGGGGAGCCACTCGAACATGGATATAAAGATCACCTCTTATGGTTCGCGCGCCTGGACTGCTAGCGGGCGGCGCGTGTCCTTCCCCAGAAACCCGAAGTCTCATTCCGTCCTCGATTCCAGGTGGTATGTCAATATGAACGGACCGTGTTTCCCTGGTCACTCCTGCTCCACTGCACGTCCGGCACTCGGCGCCCCTCGGCATTACTACCCCCTCACCGTTACATGTGTCGCAAGTTGCAGCCATTTGGAATCCGCCTGCCATATGATGAATTCTGGATCCAGTTCCACCACAGCGGCCACAATCTTTCCGTTTCTCGCCTTGCTTCATTCCTGATCCACTGCAGGTTTTACAAGTTACCAAAGGCTCCGTTCGAATATCTTTTTCGGTCCCTTTCGCGGCCTCCATGAACGATATCGTTGCTTGAAGCTATGAACCTTTAGTATCCCATTCCCTACGGTACCGCTAAAGCTGGGTGAGAACTCACCTCAATATTATCACCCATAACGACATCCTGAGGGCCCCTGCTTCTTTTCCCGTGCGTTGTTCCTGAAAACGCATTGAACAAATCCTCAAAGCTGAAGTCCGCCCCAAAACCACCACCCCCAAAGCCCGAAAATCCGCTGGGATGGCCGCCAAATCCTCCTGCTCCAGCACCAGAATTGAAACCCCCGGAAGGGTCAAAGGCGGATTCTCCGTGCTGGTCAAACATGGTCTTCTTCTCAGGGTCACGCAATATCTCATACGCAGCCTGTAGTTCCTGGAACTTTTCCCGGGCCTGGGGTTCTTTATTCGTATCAGGGTGCCATTTTCTGGCGAGACCGTAATATGCCTTTTTAATTTCTGCGGCAGAAGCTGTTTTGGGGACACCAAGAACAGTGTATGGGTTTTTTATGGACGAGAATTTTGTGGGGGAGGCGTGGAATGACTACAGAGATTTTTGAGTTTAGGATCCAAGACTTCAATGTTACAAGATTTTAGGTCAGGATACTCACTCTTTCAGTTGGCCGTCTTGAATTACTCAATGGCGCTGAGGGCCTTGAGTGATTTACTGAGGACTGAAGGCATCTGTAGTGACATACTTGGGATTGTGTTCCACGCAATAAACGAACAGCGCGAGGCAGAACGAAGCTCATTATTTTGAACCGATCGTTGACACAATTGGTAGTTATGCGTGCAGCAATTTGAAACCTTGGGATGTTTGGGTTTTGTTGACGTAGGTTTAATAATTTGGAGGGGATAAAAAAAAAAAAAGGTATGACGATAAGGAAGTGAGTAAGCAGACGGTGATTGGTCAATATGAGGTCACGTGAAAAAATAGTCGAACATTCTCGAAGTAGATGCTCAGGCACGATAGAGAGTGCTGGTATAGAAAGTCTAGAGTACCTACAGTACCGTACGCATGTAGGTACATTGGATGGTCTCGGCACTAGTTACATCTTAGACATCATAAATACAAACCACATTGGGTGTGAGGTTTAAGAATGCGGGAGAAGATTCTGTTGCACAAATGCCTGTAGACTCTTTTACTGGGGCATGGTCAGCACGGGGGTATGGGTATGGTCAATCTCAAATATACCCCCGTGGTCTACACTCGAGGTATGTACGTAGGTCCATAGGTACATCTGTGCCTACATGTGCATGTATAGTTAATACGGTACCCATATTACCCATATTATACTGAGATATACTCATACCTCCCACAACTTCATTCCTGGGTATTCATACTGCCGTTAGTCATCGCCCAATACATCTACATACCCTAATCACGTTTAATACATCTTCCAGTTCAATACTCGTCTAAATTATCTCTTAGTCATGTCTTCTCATACTTCGTCCTCCTCAGACTCAACCGCTGGCCTCGGTCTTCCTCAAGTGGCCGCCTGCCTCCTCGTTGGCTACTTTGTCTTTCGCTGGTTTTTCAAGACGACAGATCCATCGTCTTCGGCAGCCCAGCGCCCCTCACCTGTGGACTCAAGACGACTCCAACAGCAGGTTGATGTCATACGTGGAATGTTTCCTCAAATCCCGGCAGGCGCTGTTCAAGCTGAGCTCATCCGGAACGGTGGGAGTATTGAGATTACTACAGAGAAAATTCTCACGAATGGTTTTCTGCCTGAAGTGAGTGCTCTGAACCTAGATGTAGCTATCGAAGCATGCTAATACCCTTTATTAGCCACCCGCTCCTGTCACCTTGGCTCCCGTACCCCCTCCAGCTCCAGCACCAGCTGCCAGGCCTTCGGTCCCCACACAGCGGCGAGTAGCACCCCCGGCTGCATCTTCGGCGAGCGGGTCGAATACAATTCTCTCGCAATACAGCGATTTAATTACAAGGTATAACCTTCATAGCCGTCTTCAAGAGGGAGACCCTTCCTCCGCCGCGGGCCCGGGAGGGAAGGGAAAGGCACCGGCGACCAAGTCGGACCGTCAGTTAGCGCATCATAGTAAGCGCGATGATATGATCCTTGCGGCACGCCGTCGGATCCAAGAGATGGATAGGGTGGCTGCTGGGCAGTCTTAATTCATAATTTGCGGGAATGATGAGCTTTACTTTGTTATGTTTTTACTATATTATTTTGTTTCTTTCGGTTAAGTGGGTTTACATTCTTATTGCCATGAGACTGGGCGGACTCTGTACTTGGAGGGATCGTTTTCCGGGAGTGAAGGTATATGTTTACGATAATTAGTGAATCTAGTCTTATTCTAAAGTTACATGTAGTTAAAACTATTGCCTCAAGGAGAGTTTTGCTGGGAAGTATGCACTATTGCCGGTTCGATTGAGTCGGGCGTGCGAGAAAACAAAAATGATGTTTTGTTACAAGTCCAAACTATATTCTACATGTATGCCATTTCAATCTACCAAAGTACAGTTTAATGAGTGACATCAACAATCAAAAATACGCCCTAGTGTGAATTGTGGTTGAGATAGACCAATAAGAATTGGACACAAAATTCTTCTACTACGTTGGATGAAAGTTGATATGGGGCTCACGTTATAAGATAGAACCTTAAAAAAGTACTCGAATAGGATAAATTACTACTGGCATTCATAAATTCTCACTCGAAGATCAAAGGGTATTACAAATCGTACGGACGGACCCTAGGATTTGAAGTTACATGTAGTTTAGGTTGCGACCACCCCCCAGCTCTGTACCTTCATCCACTCCAATTCAAAGCTGCGTACATACACCTCATCAGCGCAACACAACTCCGCTACTATACCTGTTGCACGCAATATCCCTATTCAATGGCTGACTCTAAAGGAAATGTTTACGGGACAGCAGGCGACACAGTATGCCCCCTCTCATAAGATCTACGATCACTGAGCTAAAGCTAACGTGAACCTCTCCTTCACCAATTTTAGGACTTTCGCCGGACATGGGACCGCGATGAATGGGCTGCTAAGGCAAAAGAGCGAGAAGCCAAAGAGCGTGCCGAAGGAAAACTCCGCGCTGAAGCAAAAGCCCAAGGTAAAAAGTACTACCGCGAACCCACACCTCCGGATGCATCTATGATAGAAGCTCGCCGCGAGCGATTGAATTTGCAGGAAAATCTCAACAAAACAACACTGGTGCCAGCCGGTGCTGGGGTTGGCAAGCGTGGAAAGGGAGCTGGATTTTACTGCGAGAACTGCGACTTGACATTCAAAGACTCTTTACAATGGGTTGACCATTTGAATTCAAAGCAACATTTGCACGCGATAGGCCAGACTTCTGAAGTAGAACGTGCCACTGTGGAGCAGGTTATCCAGAGATTGCAGTGGCTGCGGTCTCGAAAACGACAGCAAGAGACAGGCGAGGAGTTCGATTTGCAGAAGAGGTTGGCAGAACGTGCAAGGGCTGAGGAGCAGGAACGGCTGGAGAGAAGGCAGAAAAGGAAAGCCCATAGAATTGAGAAGAAACAATTGGATATCAAGAAGGAGAAGGACGCTGGCGGGTACACAGCTACAACAGACGTAGATGAGGATGATGTAGATGCCATGGCTATGGCAAGAATGATGGGGTTTGCGGGAGGCTTTGGATCAACGAAAAAGAATTGATCTTACAGTGTGTCAAATACCAACCTACCCCCAAATCTGCCTTTTCTTGGTGATGGTTTAACCCTGTCATGTCGTAGTATTTCGAGCAAAGAGCTTGCCTATGATTGACCTTAAAATAAATGCAATTTTTTATCGTAGGGAAAACTGAGAGTGTTGCACCAATCTCCCCAAACCATGAACCCTATCCTGTATTCATCTATGTGCATCGATTCACTTGCTGCAATTATGAGAGTGCTCAAGCGAAATCTTATTTTCATTACCTACAACTGAGTGTAGGGATAATGAAACACAATTAAGTTTAATAGAAAAATATTTTTTATCAGTTACAGGATTGAATTTAAACGGGCCAAGTTTCAACTACATAAACATATATTATATCTCAATGATTGTGGAAACGCTCGAGAAGAAAGCAAACTCGAGTGACCCCGTGAAGAAAAGGTAGAAGCAAAAGAAAGATTGAAAAAGATGTACTCCATATAATGCTAATGAGTGAACCTACTCCTCAACAGGTTCTTCCTTTCGCTCCTCGATCAAGAGATCCTTGCCTACAAGCCGCTTGTAGATATCCTTGACATCATCTACTAGCTGTTAGAAAATTCTTGTTAGGGGCTATACTAGATGCAAACTCACCTGTGCATGTTTCAAAATGGGTGGACGCATCGTAACTACGGGAAATAAAAACATTGTCTTTAGTGCCATCTTCAACTGGCTCATATAGATCAACGACTTGAATGAATCTACAGGTCGAAAATCAGTATTGTGTCCTTCGTAAGCGCGGTTGGGGATTTCACTTTTCTTCTCTGTCTCCGAGACGGCCAGATCCCAAACCAAGACGCTCAAAGCCGGGCTCCAGCTCAGCATGTGGATTTCCAGCAGATGGGTTCTCAATCACTGTTGAAACGCTGGCAAGGTAAAATCCCTTAGGACAGACATTGAAGGTGGATGATACGAGAGAGATGTAGATGTCGTGGAGACGACCAATTTGACTAGCTGGAATGATTATTTGGGCCGAGTCCGCCATTTCAGTGCCCTCGATAGGATGCGTAAGCACGCAGATAGCGCGGATGAGCTGACCAACATGACGGATCTTCTTCTCATCACCAAGGAAATAGCTTGGGTCCGCAACAACCTTTTTGGTTTTGACGGTAACTTCCTCCTTGGTATTAGGGTGAGGGAATTTGACGCCAGAAACCTGACCATTCTCATCATACAAAATTTCTTGCAACGGGGTGTTCAAAGCATAGGTTCCGCCGTAAACCGCCGACAGGAACGAAAACCTTTCGGGGAGCTCGCCGAGTCCGTGGAGAGGGAAGATGTAGGGTGATTTTCCAAACCGAGCCATGGACCTGACATAGAGGATGATGCGCTCAATAGGTTCACGGGCAGGTCGGTCAAGATAGGAGTCATCGACGTACAGAGCCATTGCGTGGCCAATGAACTCCGAAGTCCAGGAGTCAAGGCTGAATAGTTTGTAAGCCTCTCGCATGGTGGTCTTATCCAGGTCAAGGCCTAAAAAAAATTAACATTTATGTATGGAAAGCATAAGATATTACAGCAAAATGGGGCCTACCCTGCTTGTGAGTAGTTGAATCATCTTCCTTGTAGTTGGCGATGAATTGTAAAAAGGCCTGGAGATGATTCTTTTGGAACAAAGAAACCAAAGAGCTAGTAACTGCCTCCATCCTGGTAGAAGGAACCTTGTACGGAGTACCCTTTTTGACAACGTAACTCCCACCAACTTGTAAGAGATCAATATAGCGGGTGACACCAGTTTTGTGAAGAACGTTGGTCAATTCGCCATCAGCCATGAGAAACTTGGGCACCAATGAAATGTGCCATTGATTCCACTCGCTAGGCTTGGTACCAAAAACTGCAGGTGGCTCCGATCCTGCCATGCCCGGTGTTGAGTCTACCGACTTTCGTTCCTCCTCAGCTTTGGCTTTCTCGATTTCCTTTCGTCGCTGATCTTCGGTCCATCTGAACTTTTTCCACATCTATAGCTCATATGTCAGAGGGGAAATCTCATACGAAAAACTGTGAAAGAGCTTGTATAGACCTCGAGCATATTTAAGCTTGCACTCTCGCTAAGGAAAAAAA